ATTTATCAGCGCATGAGGGCTTCACAATCTTAGTATTGCCTATTCATCCAGCACTGAAGTATTAATCCCGTTTTTCTCAAGTTAGGTTTCCAGCCACTTGTGCCCATTCTGCACAGTAAGTAGTCCTTCTTTTGGAAGTGTTTGGAGCAACTATGACAAAAGTTTAGCTAAGCTCAAAAGCTTAGCTCAGAAGTATGGTTTCTTAACAGAGAGGTCTGCAACCTTTTCAGTGGTGGTCCTGCACCTCCAGAACCCATTTCCATCTACGCTTTGTAAGACCTGCTCTTTGCAGGTCTTCAGAAAGGCTTTCATGATCTTTTCCCATTTTTATTTGTATATTTTATTTTAATAGTGGTTTATAGCAAATTTATTTTGCCTGTTTATATACTTTTTGTTTGGTTTATATCCTGTATGCTGTCTTGAGAGGGCTTTGTCTTTAAAAAGCAGCTTTAAAATAATTTTAAATAAATAAACCTTATCCTTTGTACCAGAAAATAGGAAGCTGCCTCATAGCAAGACAGATCATTGGTCTATCTTACTCCAGACTAATAATGTTCAGACAACATACTAGCCCACAGTCATGGGTAAAATATATATGGCTTGAGTGTGGATTGTAACTGAACTATGGGTGTCATTGAAATGTAGGTTATTGTGTTGTCTGAACCCAGCTATTCTAACAATCCATGGTTTAAGTGGGAAATCATCAGGATGGCAGTTGGTGACGAGCGGGGTCCCACAGGGCTCTGTCCTGAGACCAATCCTGTTCAATCTTTTCATCAATGTCCTGAAAGAGGGGGTGACAAGTCTGCTGATCAAATTCACAGATGATACTAGAATTGGGCGGGGGGGACACAACTGAGGAGCAAGTACTACAGATCCAAAAGGATCTGAACAGACCATGGAAGTGGGTGGGGGACAACAGGATGGCATTCAATGCAGATAAATGCAAAGTCTTGCACTTGGGGGTTGGAAAGGGTATCATAACTACAGGTTAGGGGACAAGTCGCTGGAGAGCAACACTTGTGAAAAGAATCTCTGGGTGCAGGTCGACTGCAGGCTAAACATGAGGCAGCAGTGTGACGCAGTGGTCAAGAGGGCGAACGCCACCCTTGGATGCATAGCCAGAAGTATGGCTTCTAGATTGAGAGAGGTATTTCTGCCACTCTGTATGACTCTGCTGCACCTGCAGCTGGAATATTGTGTTCAATTCTGGGCCCCTCATTACAAGAGAGATATAGCAAGGTTGGAATTGGTGCAGCAAAGTGCCACAAGGATGGTGGCTGGTTTGCAGAGTAAGCCATAGGAGGAAAGATTGAGGGAACTGGGTCTTTTCAGCCTTGAGGAGACACAGAGAGGACTTGTTAGCGACATACAGGTATGTCATGGGGTGTCCTCCAGAGGTGGGTCATGACCTTTTTCCCCCTGTGGATGAGGGCAGGATGCATTCCCATGGAGCAAAGCTCAGGGAACCAAGCTTCAAGGTGGATGTCAAGAAGTACTTCCTGATGGTCAGGACTCCTAGGGTGTGGAATGGGCTTCCACAGAAGGTGGTTGAAGCCCCATTGGTGAGGATGTTTAAGGATAGGCTAGGCATGCACATGGTAGAGATGTCATGAGCAGAGGCGGCTGGAGCCAGGGGTCAGCCTAGATGGCCTGGGAGGAGCCTTCTGACTCACTCTGTGTTTCTATGTTTAAGTGCAAACAACCCATCTCTGGAACTCCCTCCCTAGAGAAATTCACCTGGTGCCATCTGTATTTTTTTTTCAGCAGCAGGCAAAGAAATGCCTTTCAAAAAAATAATACTTAGCCCTTATGAATGCTGGTGGCTTTTTAATATTTTTATTGTTGTTGTATTGATGCTTTATTCTTTTAACTGTTTTAATAGGCCTTAATATCTTGTTACTTGTAAACCATCTAGGAAGGCCTTTGACAGTTATAGGTGGCATATAAATATGTGAATGAATGAATGAATGAATGAATGAAGGGAACCCATAGTTTGTTATCATATTGTGAACTGTGGGTTATTCACTATGGTCTGTTATCTCAGCTGGGTTCAGACAACACAATAAACCATGTTTCAGCAACAACATTTAACCCATTCAATCCTTGACTATGGGTTGAATCTGAACCCGGTTACTGACAATGGCTCTCTGGGGTTTTAGATAATTAGTCAGTCCCTTAAGATGAAAGGCTGACCTTCGGTGGGCGGGTGGGTATGTAATCTACCACTGAGCTAGAGCTACTGAGCTACTAGAAGCAGGTTAATAGGGAGAGTCTACAGCTCAGAGACAGAGCACATGTTTTGCTTACAGAAGGTCCAGGGTCAGTCTTTGGAATCTTCAGGCAGAATTTTTTTGTTTAATTCTGCCTGGAAACCTGGAGAGCTGCTCCCAGTCAGTGTCGAAACTGCTGGCCTAAATGGACCAAGTGTCTCGGCTGGTATATGCAGCTTGCTATGTAACCAACTAAAATTATTTGTTCACAAGGCCTTCCAGGTAGCGTAGCTGTCATTTACACTCAAGATGAACTGACACAATTTGGAATCCACCAAACTGAATGCTACTCACCACATGGGCAGCAAAACCTAGACCTCTGTGGGATCATGCCATACATGGTTGGTGCTCTACCATTCACAGATTGTACAGGCTTGTCCTGAAAGCAGTACTATGGCACATCTCTGGAAACAATTATAGCTGAAATGTACATGCTTCTGTCATTTAATGTATGGCTGATAAACATACAGCCAGTGTAGAAAAACATGGAATACTGTCCAGTCTTTCCCAATTGGCTTCTTTGCAGAAAGCTGAAGTCCATATTTCTCACCCCTTGCATATCACAGAGTATGGCTGATAAGTGTCCTTTCTGAAGTCACTCCTCAAAAGATCTGTGTCAGCTTTTACTTTCTCCCCAGTCACTTTTGTCCTGGGTCATCGTATTTCCCTATGGAATTAGAGGCACTTATACCTGCAGTTTACATGATATTGCAATTGACTGACCCTCTTTCATCTTGCCTTAAACAAGTCAGAGGGTGAGCTAACTTTGTGGGCTGTGATCCCAGAGCAGCAAATTATGTAAACTAGTGCTCAAGACAGTTCTTCCAAGCCAATCCCCAAGTCCAGTTTGCACATAGCTTCCTGACAGTTAGGACCCCAAGGATATGGAATGGGCTTCCACGGGAGGTGGTTGAAGCTCCATTGGTGAGGATGTTCAAGGATAGGCTGGATATGTCCATGATAGGCATGCCATGAGAGGAGCTGGCTGGAGCAGAGGGTCAGACTAGAATGGCCTGGGAGGCCCCTTCTGACTCGCTCTGTTTCTATGATTCTGTGTTTTCTGACACAGAGATTAACCTAGACCCATTTGAACAACTCAGTTGTTTGAGCCCTGAACCATGCCAACATATCCGATGGGAGGAGAGGGGGAGAGAGAGAGAAGCCCAACCTTGCATCTCTTTGAAGCACATGCTAACAGACTGCACCATAGCCCTCTACTCTTTGGCCTGTAGGGAATAAGAAACTTTCAGTCACAGCACGTGGCATTGGAAAGAGAGCATGAAATCATTGTAGCCAGTAAGGGTAGGAGCGTGGGAAAATTCCACAAACCACTTCCTATGCAGTGAATTACAAGATTGTACATTGTTAAGGGCAGTGAAGCTCTGGGGGCTTTAATACAAAATTAGCAGGCTCCTGCACCACAGTCCCAGCAGATAGGTGGGCCTATTGCTTGTGCACAATCTCCACTCACATCAGCACCCTTGGCTCCAGAGCAGGGATGAAAAGAGAGGCCCTACTCCAAGAGAATGAGTGGAGAGCCACTAACATCAGCACCTTCATGGCTGGGTGTCTGCAGCTAATCACAGACGCCCCAAATGCCCACAACCCTCATGGACAAAAGCAGCATGAAAGCAGCACCACTGAAGAGCCACACATCCTGTACACCGCTAAATGCATAGCACTCTAAATATGCACACATTAAGATGGGCTTTGTTTGCTGGTTTTTTAAATCAAAAAGACAAGAGCCACACAGAGATTTGTGGTGGTGTGGGGAGGTTACAATTACTACAAGGAAGCAAAATGCCAAGAGCCGGAAAAGCAGAGCTGCCAAAGGGTTCATGCCCCATAAAAGCAGTATGAAGCATTAAGTGTTCTCAGTTCTGGATGCTGCAGTTTTAACATCTGCTTTGATCATGAACAGCAGTAAAGCTGGTAAGGATGTTGGAAAATCTGCTCATACAGAAGTACCTGGAAGCTTCAATAGCACTAACAGGTAGGAGAAAAACTACTTTGCTAACATGTTATACAGATACCCTAACTTAGTACAAAATCGAACTGCTTTGCTGCCAGCTACTACTTCACACTAAAGAACTCTGGAATCATAGTCTACTTCAGTGCCATGATTCTAATAGTAATCCTTATCTCCCCTTAACAGAACTCCAGTTGCTAGGATTTCCTGGAGAGAGAATAACTAGCCGTTTTACATCTGTGTGGGATGGATGTGCCCTCAATGAGTTCTCATGTAGACTCCATGCTAATCCAAGCTCGATGACACAATCATACTCCATGCTAACTGAAGCTTCGGCTAACACAATACAATGAAGGTTCATTTTCTTGAGACCCTTCACAGCACAACTGTACAACAGCTAAGAAAGACAGTATTACCCAATCCTATGGTAAAGTAATCACACCTGCCTTAACATAACCAACCCCCCCCTTATGGCCCAATCACAACTATGCTCATCAGCATAAAAGCTGCAGTTTATGATGACTTTTCGAGTAACTGAGTAGGAAGAAAGAAGAACCAACAGGAGGTGGGGCAGTGGTCAAATGGAACAAGCAAAGAACTGGAGAAATGGATACAATTTATAGCCCATTATACTTTGAGGCCCTTCTATATACCGATTAGAATCTACAACTACCTGTGACTTTACAGTTTTCCAGTTTAACTGGGAAAGCCCTTCCCCAATACAGAAAAACTGAATGGAAGCAGGAAAGTTGTCCTACCTCAGCCTCAAATGTCTGCTGGAAAGTTTCTTCCTTGAAAGGTTCTGTCTTAAGACGTTCTGCAACAGAAGCACCAAGGAGAGTAGAATGAGTTAGGTTCCAATGTGGCCAAGCGTGCAAGTTCTCTGCCCCAGTTTCTTGTTCCAACCCTATCATAGCATAGCTTCCTCCTTGGCAAGATGAGTCAAGCAGTCCTGTTCCCCTCCAAGAACACATGCATGTTTAGCCAACACCTGAGTTGAGCCCACAGGAAATTAGACCTAAAGTCTCCCGTAGTGGACCTTGGGCCAATTAACAAACATCTTTGAAATATTAGTCATTCCATCAAAATGTAAGATCCAGCATGCATGGTCCAATGCATACAGAGCTGAACTCAACAAGCTCAACCCCCTGTTCAGATAAAAATTCTATGAACAGCCTAAAAATCTCACTCTCCAACCTCCAGCTTGTAGGGATAATCTATCTCCCAGGGTAATAGTGAAGAGAAATGAGGTAAGAACGTATAAAGGGACCATGTTACATAAAACATTACTTTTAAACATCCAAGGAGAGAGCAGTTTACTCATAGCTACTGAGAAGCTGCACTGAAAAGTCAGTGGTCTGTATAAGCCCAGCGTCAGGTTCACTAGGAGGGCAATAAGGTTATGGCTTCTCCACCCCAGTGATCCTGAACAAGATTTCTGTGAGGGGAGTAAATTTAAAACCTCTCCACCACCTTTATGACAGGGGTCTTCAACCTTTTTGGAACCATGAGTACATTTGGAAAGTTGAGAAACTGCTATAGACACATCCACAAAATACTTATTCAATGGATCACCACTACTTGTGGTATTTATGGATCACAGGTTGTATCTTATTCAGCAAAATCTTTTGTTCCACGTCTACTAGACACTGCAACATCTCTTTATTAACGGACGGTATAACTCAGGGAATTGTTGGCAGTCCAATACAACTGATGCTTCTTCCAAAAATGTTTTGGCAATGCCCAATAGTTGCTCCTTTTGAGGTCTTTTTGGGAATATATTATTGTATAAATAAATTTTGTATTGGAACAGTCCTCAGTATTCACCAATATACACTTTTAAAAAATGAATTACCTGCTTCAAGGAAATTAACAAACAGTGAGTATATATGGATCATCTCCACTCTTTTGACAGCTACAAGACTGATATTACAATTATGAACACTGACCTCCTACAAAGTAATTGATCAAGGACCTCCTAGTACTTTCAGTATTTGAACGGGTGGCATTTAGATACCTCCTTCAAACAAGTATTTATTTGGATAATTGGTCCACTTTTCTCGAAGCATACATACAATTGCCAGAAAGCAGTATGCATTTCAGACAAATCCATGTGGTGTGCTTTTAAAAAATGGGAACCTTTCTAACGTAAAAAAGAATTGGCTACCTAGGTGTGCCATGACGGGATGCATTCATGAGTGCAGTGCAAGGAACCTGCAGGTGCCACACTGGGAACCACTGCATGGTGATGCCAAGCCAGATTGATACAGTTGGATCACTGCGATGAAGGTGAGGTAACAGCCAACCCTCCCACTCACACACCAGGGATCTCAGTGTGTTCTCTGCCTTCTGTTGCCCATACATGATATAAGTCATGGATGACAATTGCAACACTTCCTTTTTCCCAGCTCCCTACTGTGCAAACAATACATATACTTGATCCTCAGTGGCCTGGGAACTCCCCATCTGGTTTTTTTTTAACTGATATAAAATAGGGGTTGACAAATCTTGTATATACAAGTCTAATCACTGTAATACATCTAGCTATGGAAAACATGTCTGGCTAGATTAGTATGCATAGGTGTGCATCTATAGGGAGAAAGGAGATCCAGCCTTTTGATCTCAAGGGCTAAGATGCAGACCTCACTGTCTGTTCCACCCATCCCTCACAACTGACCAAAAAAAAGAAAAAAAGCAAAAAAGTGGAATCTCAGACCGCTTTTCCCTGACCCAGGGCAAGTTTCAAGCAGATAGCTTGGTGCTTCAGTGAGGCATTTGACCAGGACGGTGTAACCATGGGATGTGTATTGGCCACAGGGAGTCTTCCTCAGGCCCTGAGCTTTCACAGGAGCTTCACATTTTCTCCCTTAAAACAAATGGAAGCCATGGAAGATTGCAGGGCTACATTCCACAGTTGCTGGACATTTCTGGGCTGTAGAATTAACCAATGGGAATGGTGTTGGCATCTCAGCAGAAAGTGCACTGCACTGTACAGGAAGCCCTGGGCCACCACCCAGCCAAAATCAAGCAGGGCTCTTAAAACCCTTCAATAAATGATTACATGGCATGGTTGTGTAGCAACAATCCAGGGCAATAGCAGTCCCTTCTACTCTCCTCCCTTCCAGAGAGTGAAAGAAGATTCACCAGCATAGCCCAATCCTTCTCTGGCCAGCTTGGATCCTTCCATTCTCTGGGATGTAACAGCCAGGAATGCCATCTACATCTTGCAAGCAGCTTAAGCAGCTGGACTGGGAGTTTGGCTTCAGCTTTGTAGTGATGGGGGGGGGGCGGGGGGGAGGAAACGGAGTCCTCATTTACTCCAAGAGCTCACTGAGCTTCCGCATGCAAAAAAGAACAACCTGACTCCATTCAAGCTCCTTTAAAAGCTGGCACTGACCCCAGACTCCTGGGCTGCAGCCAGGCACTCAAAGGAAAGAGCCCTTTGGCTAGACCCCAAGCACTCAGTGACTGGTCAAAGGCCAGCTCTTTTCATCCCCAAGGATATTGACCCCAGACTTCTGGTTACTACTCCAGAGCAGCTGCCCATGAAACCTGGATCAGGCTGGCTGGTGGCCAGAGGCTGCATGTCTGAGGCCAGCCTTAAGGCAGGTAAGGAGGAGAGGAGAGGAGGGCAGATAGCATATCACCTCGACTGAGAGTAGCCCCATCCTCCTGGTAATCTTCAATCTCAGCATCCTTCCGGAGCAGCAGGGATGCCAGTTCCTGCACCTGATACTGCAGTGCCAAGCTCATCGCCATCAGGGGCCGCACAAGGTGGCAGGACACCTGTCACAGGGCACAGAACAGAGGACAAGGGTCAAGCAGCATCAGCAACAATGGCAGAGGGCTTGGCTCTTAGAACTGAGCTCATGGGTGCAGTGCCAACTAAATCATACCCTGCCTTGTCAACTGCGTCACACCTGCCTTGAGGGTACTGCAAGATCTTGGCAAAGGCAGGCTGCAGGCAAGAAGAAGCATTTCTGTCACCCCATGTGCCACTGCTCTTCTTGGGACCCTGCCAGGAGCAACGCTAGTCAGCAGAGCATAGTAGGAACTATCTGCCTTTCCTCTGTCTGCCAGCAGAGGGCTCCACAACAAGCTTAGCTGCATGGTCTTTTTAAACATAAAAATTATGAAACTGCAGGTTTTCTCTGCAAGAGAGAAAAGCACAATCCAGACCCAGTCTCTTCAGACCTAGAAAAGGTTGCACAGGAACAAGTAATGCACATAGGCCTGACATTCAGATGAACAGTCATCTGAGCTGGATGGTGTAAATTGGGGTCATGCAACAGCAGGGAGTTGGGTCTGATGGCCTTCTTGACCCCTTCCAGCCCTTCCAAATCTCTGATTCTGTGATTCTACACAGCAGCTCAAGGAAAGCAAGAGGCAAAGATCAAATACAAAAAGAATCCTAACGCTCAAATCATGACAGCACTAAGGACCGGTCCTCTCTATGCAACCCATGGTTTCCCACCACCATGAACTAAGGGTGCTAGCAAGGTATCTCAGCTCCTTCCCTCAAGCAGAGCAAACAAACTTAGCTGGTGGCTACACTCACACACTGCCCACATTATAGACCAGCCTTCCTCAGCTTTCTGCTCTCCATTTGTGCAGTGCTGCAACTATCATCTCCAGAAAGGGGCCATGCTGTAGCTCAACACATATGAAGGGCACCAGGTTGGGGACGGCTGACCCAGACTCTAAGGAAGTGGTGTTGCAGAGAAGCTACTGGATTCAGATGTGGAAAAGTAATGGTTTCATTGGGCATCCTTGGACAGATCACTCAGCCTTTTTCCCTAAGCACAATTGCAGACAGAGGGGGGAGGGTTTTTGTGGAGATTTCAGCATGTGGAAGGAGTGGGTGCACCTCTCTCCCTGCAGCTCCCATCTCTGAGAAAACCATGGCTTTTAAAATTAGGATGAACGCTACAATTGCAGGAGGGAAGGGCAGAGAAGACAAGTTCACCCACTAGATCCACAGATGCCATGAGACACATCAGGCATACAGGTTTGGGGTTCCCCATACCCAGTAAAGGTTATCTAAGCACACAGACAAAATTACAAACTTCAATCAAACCCACCTTGCCAATTTGAAAGTGACTGAGCAGCGTCCATGTCTGCTAAATGTCAGTTATTTAGCAACTAGGCTGTAGGTGCATCATATGGAAGGGGAAACACCCAAGCAAAGGTTTCCCTATGTCTTTTGAGTGACTGTCAACTTAGCACAAGGTTTCTCTGTGCATTTGATAAATTCACACAAGAAATCAGCCACTCAGGCGGTGATTCATTTTCAGCTCTGGCTATAAGAAAATGCCAAAGGGATGGAGTCTGGGCTCATAACAGGTTTAGCAAAATTAAGGAAATACAGCCAAGGGCTTCACAATGGCATATATCTGTAGGAACAAGCACTAAGGGATTTTTTGCATGAGGCTTTTAACTTACCACCTTACTGGAGTTTCTTTGCCAATTTTCTTTGCAGGAGAGAAACCTGGGCTTTCCCCTCCCCAGAGTTGGTCTTTCTGACTTTCTATATATTCCATTACTCAGCTAGAAGCTGCTGCTATGGTACAGCAGAATTTATTTATTTATTTATTTTCCAACCCACTCCCATCAGCCATAAGTCTCTCTGGGGAGGTTACAGCAGAAAATTGCAACAATACACAAAACTGTCATTCTACTTTGTTCTGCATTTGAATTTTAATAGCTGACTTTCCTTCCCCTTAAAAAATAAGCTGCTGGAAAACACTGGAGGATGACGTGATAGTGAAAAGGATCCACAAGTCAGGGATCATGAGTGCACAATAAATGCCTTGTATAGAGAAGCACTGGGTGTCACAGGACAGCCCCGCTCCTGTGGAGGCACCTGGTGCAAACACCTGGAAAAGAAGGGCCTTTGGTTAGACCCAACCTTGCAACAATCATATTCTTAATCCCTCAACCACAAAACAACCCAAAGTAATCATGAAACCTCCTTCAACAACATGCATATTGCTCTCACATACACAACTGATCTTAATGATTACAGGCCACTGCATATTGGACAAGGAAAAAAACAGAGAGATATGAGAGACATCAATCTGCTCAACTTTTCCCAACCCAAGGCATGATGCTAACAGGTGACACTTTTGTGTTACACAGCACAGTGGTGCCAAATGGCCATGCTTAACTTAGAGCAGAACCCTGGACATGTAGCGATTTAAAACAAAAACACCTAGAACTCCCAACATTTCTCAGCCAGCATGACAGTTTCAGCATTTTTCCCTGTCAAATAAGCAGGATTGGACCCTAAGTAACCTGGTGGCACATCCACTAGAGTAGATGCAGGACCCATACAACCCTTAACAGCCAGTAAGGAATGCAAAATAAGCATAAGCAATGTCTAAATTCTACACTTAACAGCTACAGAGTGCCAATGCTGTTGGGACCCCAGCCGGTACAGAATGGAAATATTCTGTGCAGGTGCCATATATTTCCCTTTAAGAAAGAAGTACCACTCTCATGCTCTCCAAGATGCAAGTAATAATAGACCCCACATGCCATAATACAATCAAATATTTGAGAGCAAGTGCAGACCATTGCCTGGTGTATAGTGCCCCCTGGTGCACACATGGCAAAAGTGTAACCAATCCCTGAAAACTACAAAATTGGGAAACATCTATCCGGCTATCTGAGCAAAACAAATCCCAAAACATCACCAGATTTCCACATTCTAGATAGACTTATGCAGGTAGAGAGAGCAAGCCCATACAGTGAAAGAAGAGAACTCTCCCCACTGGGGGTGTGGGCAGAAATAGGGGGCTGCCATCCAGAAGCATTAAAGCAACCCCTTTTTAAAAAGCATACAATTGCCCAGTTTGCAGGCAGCCTTATTGCAGCAGGTGGAAAGCAAATGTCTCATATGACTCATTTCTTCACCTTTTGCTCATCTTAGGTCAGGCCAAGTGACAATTTTCAGTACCAACACACCAACTAACAACGCTTTAAGACAGTCAGGGAACATTAGGGCTATATTTACTAAATACAGTAAATATTTTTACTATATTCTATACTATATTCTTACTATATTTTACTCTTACTTTGTAAGAGTTTCATCCCCAAAGGCAGCCTGAAAATAACTAAAGTAAATCAATTTGCTCCCATCCCACACTGAACTAGTTCTCATGCTTTATAGCTTTCTTGTATCTGTTGCTCCCTATGTTTGCACTTTGGTTCTCATCAGCCTCAGCCAGGATGGCCAGTGGACAGCAATGCTGGGAGATGTAGTGCAAAACATCCTGACAGCCCAGGTGAAGGTAGACTGCTTCTGAGGATTTGCTTTTTGGCAGTTGGTGGTCCATGCAAGAACAGTGCCATCCTTGTAGCTTCACATTTAAAACAAGCAGATCTCAAGCAGCTGCCACTGAACTGACATGCAGCACTGACACAAAGGCTGTGAATTGAATGATGCACCTTCAGAGGTAAGGATATTTCCATGGACTACTGAAGTAGCTGCTCTACAACTGATACATTCCCAGTTCCAGGTAGAAGCAACTGGGCTTCCTATCTTGTGTCAAGAAAAAATCATTATCCTTCAGTTGAAAGATCCAGAAACCGAGACACAGGTGTATTCCACTGCTGCATTGCTCTTACTTTCCCGAGTCCATGAGCATCCATGTTTAACTCACCAACTCAACTGGTGCAGCCAAGCAGTGGAAGTCCCAGTAGAAAGGCAGTCCTGAGAGTTCACTCTTCACACGGAGAGTCAGGGTGCTGGGGCTTAGCTGACAGGAGAAGCAGGTAGAGCTGTTCTTTTTCCCTTCCAGAAGGGGACATATCAGGCTGCGCAAGTGGTTTAGGAATGAGGATACGTGAGCTGTCAGCCGTTTATTGAGCTTCTGGGAGAGTAAAAGCAAATCACAATCAAGAATGTATTCTCTGCAGAATTGCTTTGTAAAAGAAAAAAAGAATATAGCCAGCAATGAGGTAGGGGAAATAATCTTCCCCACAGAATATTGGGCATGCGTTTCCCCACCACAGCTTCCCTCTATCCTTAGTTCACACAGAACTGTGATGTATGCATACCCAGACATGCTATCCAAAAGCTCTGGAAACCATTCCCAAGCCCTCAGAATTCAATAGTCTGTACCTGGGAAAATGCAGCATCTCCCTCTGGATAACATATTATTGACTGCAATACCCAGACAGCTTTAGCTATTTGGCAGTACAGAAGTATAATAGAATTAAATAAAAACTTGTCAGTTCTGCATACAGTGAACAGGATTGCATCCATTGCTGACAAGTGCAATTCCATAATAACACAATTCACATTCCATGCCACCACAATTTTGTCCCAGTGGGTTCTGGGGAGGTTTTTCTAGTGATCTGGAGCTCATGCCTAGAAATAGGGTAGCAGCCAGATAGTAAGACATTTGTAAAACAAAGCAAATCACAGGCAAGAATGTATTCTCTGCAGAATTGCCTTGCTATGGTTTTCCTTTAAATTGGATTGTTAAAAGAGCTGCGCAGGTGGTTATGCCATACACACATTTCACAATCCCCAATTTTTCACTTACCTTTGACCTTTGCTGGATCATCTCAGCATCTGCACTTTCATACCACACATTGCTGAGATCAGACAGGAGCAAGGTATAGCTGGTATTTCCAAACCAAGCTTTGGCCATCAATGTAGTGGACTCAGCAAAGCAAACTGAAGCCCAGGGCTGCTGAAGCAGTCTGCTGTCTGCATCCTCAGTGCACTCCATCCTGTAAATTGGATGGAAATTGTATGAGGACTCTCGATGCTCTCCATCATGAAATGTTCTTTTATCCATTTCATTTAAATGTGCTGTTTCTTATTTCTATTTAATACAACAACTGAACACATTCCTAATAACATTTAGGGATGTGTTCAGTTGTTGTATTAAATAGAAATAAGAAACAGAAATAACATCCTAACAAATCATAGGAGCACAGCTCCCAAAGCACAGGAGAAGGGAGCTTTTGATCTGGATTTTAATATTATAGGTCTTTATTTTTAACACTTGAAACTTATTGTGCCAATCTTTGGTTCTGGATAAATCCCCAAACAAGAAGCGTATCAATGATAATTCATCAAAATGCTCCCAAATCACTTAAAGCTCAAGCAGTGAATTATTTACTCCAAACCAAGCTGGCTTAATTTCCATTTTAGAATGAATAGATAATATCAGTTATACTGGGCATCAGGGACTACTTTCACAGATCACAGACCCCTTGCTAAACCTGCAAATGCCAAATGTCCTTTGGTCACCAATACTCCCTTCTTTCACGGGATGCTTAAATGAGTGGTGGCATCTCAGTTGCAAGCCTTCTAGAATAAAAGTGATTCTCTGGGTGCATTCCAGTCTTCCAGGACTGTATCAGCCGTGGTCACCCTGATGACCTTTTTCAAGACGGGATGGGGGAAAGTGACAGTTACATCTTCTAGATCACTCAGTGGCATTCAGTACTGTTGATCACAGTAACCCCCTTGGCTACCTCCATGAATTTTAGAGTGTTTAAGCCTTTATACAGTCAGTTCCAGGAAATAACATTGGATAACTACGTCTCAGCCCTCTGACAGTTAAACTGTGGGGTGTATTGTCTATTATTTTATCCTCAATGTTATTTATTATACAGTAGACTCTCAGTTAATCAGCCCCATGAGTATTGGTAGCTGCCGGATAAATGTAGTTTTGGACTGGTTGAGTTACTATTAAAAATAGGCCTAACTAATACTATACCCCATACCATACCATACCATACCATACCATACACTCTGTATTGACTTGATATCAATATTGAAATACAGTTATTATAAACAAATAAAGACAAACTTCTGTCTTCTGAAACTGAGCCTTAATGTCATACATTGTTGATGAACTGACATTAAATTCTTCCATGAGTGCTGTACAACTCTCATCTATCTCAGGCTTCTTGCATACTTCCATCTTCTGCTTGAGAGTAAGAACTATGTGTTTACGCTTACTTAGGACTTGTTTCCGCATACTTGGGGTTGGGTGAGAACATAACATTTGAATAACAATAGATCCCAACCAACCATTATGTTTACACATGATGAATTGGTGGGAGTGGGAGACAAACATGTGGTGCCCAACGCACAGGCTTACTCAAGGTGTGGCACACCAAGTTTAAACTTACATTTCCACTAGAAATTGATTTTATTTTAATTTTTATTTAAAGTATTATTTCTAGGAATTTTTTGCTGATTGTTTGAGAATGCCAGTTGCTTGAGTTCTACTGAATGGAGAGTCTACGAACATGAAGCATTTGGGAGTGGCCATTAGGAGATCTAGAGCAACATATCCCTAGTATGCTGACAGTATCTGTTTCCCTGTAGTCTCTAAATTGGGACAAGACATGCACATTCTGAATTAATGTCTGAATGCAGATATACAGCAGGTGTCAGCTAAGAAACTGAACCTGAATCCTGTTGAGACAGAGAGCCTAGGTTCTCAGATCCAGGAACTGGTGTGTTTACATGTTCTGGCTCTTACTACACTCCCTGTGAGTGAGCAACTGCATAATTTGGGGAATACTCCTGGACCCATCTTTGCGACTGGTGATCCAGGTGATATCAGTAGCCTGGAGCACGCATTAGAAACTTCAGCTGATGCACCACCTACACCCATTCCTGGATAAGGATAGCCTGGCCACAGTGATACATGCAGTGGCAAAGTCACAACTATCTAATGGAATGTGCTCCGTGTGCCTTTGCACCTGGTTCGAAAGCTGCAGCTAGTGAAGAATGCAGTAGCCAGGATGTTTAGTGGTACACCTAGTTATACACAGATGACATCTGTATTAAAAGAATGACACCAGCTGCCTATTAGCTACCATGCCTTGTTCAAGGTTTTTGTTGCTGACATTCAAAATTCTAAACAACTTGGGAGCTGGATACTAAGTTGTCCATATCTGCTATATACACCAAATTGACAAATGTCTGAGAAGGCCTTTTGGATCATTCCACAAACAATAATGTATTCTCATAAGCACACATTCTCAGTACTAGCACCTTGTCAGAACACTCTTTTATGTAGTCTGACAGGCCAAAGCTGTGGTGAACTTAAGATACCTTCTGAAGAAATACAAGTTTACTCTCAGGCTTTCCCTGCCATGTCATTGCATTGCTCTATTTTACTGTTTCTATATTTAATGTTTTAGTTACTTTATACTGAATTTTATATTGATTTTATATTGTTTATGTATTTTAACATAAAACTACTTGGAGAGCTTAGGATATCAAGCAGTATACAAATAGTTCAAATAAACAACTAAATAAATAAAAATAAGATGCTTTGAGTGTATTGCCTCTGGTTATTTGTGCTGTCCCAAAATGGGCTTGCTCTTCAGTCATCCCAAGATGGTCAGACTTGAAAAGTTGGTAAGATTGCCCCAAAAACCAATGCTTTCTTTGATCCAGTGGGTCTAATAGCAGCCTCAGGGTAGAATGAGGTGATTTAAGTTGGGGAACTGGTTGGGAATAAGAAGCATTCCTGCTGCTGTTGCTCAAGCAGCATTGTTTGCTATGAACTGTGTTCAGCTGAGTGCAGGATATGGCGTTTCCTTCGCTCTCCCTTATTTTTCTGTTTGTTTTAGGCTGCTTCACTCCCCTGACAGTGGCCTTGGGATTGAGGAAAAAAGCAATTTGTTCATCTTTTCTACAGGAGAGAAGACTGTGATGAAGAAAACAGAAAAAGAGAACCAATACTGCTTTCAAGTAGCTAAAGTGAGAAGGGTTAATAATTGATATAAGAGAAGCTAAAGTCTAGCACCTTCACTACTCAAGGTGAGAAAAATGGCTGCCTGCACTTACTTTCCTGAGGTAAAGTGCTACATGGTCTTTGCTGGGATGGGGAAAAAAAAAGAGAGGAGTGAAAGTGGAGTGAAGGTTGAGTCATCATCCTTGGAAAATTCTGAGAAAAATTTCAGAACAGAGAGTTTAGATTACTGGGCAGTGTAAAAATTAAATAAATAAATAAATAACCTGAAGCTCTGGAAGAACAAGGATCCTAAATATCTATTACAGGGGCTATGACTGTCCAAACTGCCATAAACCCTAAATGAGTATCTTTAGAAAAAAACTGTGACTATCTCTAGGGAGTTATGCAATGCATTTGGCAACACATCTCTCAGTGGCTGCATTGTTCCCTAGAGATACAGCTTTTACAGCTTTTGTCACATTGAAGTAGGGATGGCAAACTCTGAGAAGCAAGATCCTGACATGGAGAGGTCCACAAAGGTTTACTGTGCAGTTACTGAGGCCTTCAGCTGCCACAAGGCATTTATGATGAAAAAAAGAAAATGGCTGTAAAACAACCCTTGAAGCCTACTTCAAGAAAGTGATTCCAGTGGCAACCCACCCCCCCTCTCCAGCATCATAATGAAATCCTGACTCTTCAGCACCAGGTCCACCTCCATCATCATCAGTTAATATTAGGCTTAATGTTACCTCAATAATGTTCTAAACTGTTTTAAGAACCATTTCTTTTGTTTTTTACAATACTGTATACCAGGAATGTCCAACCTGCAGCCTGTGGGCCACATGTGGGCCAGGATGGCTATGAATGTGGCCCAATACAAAATCGTAAACTGACTTAAAACATTATGAGATTTTTTTTTTTTTTTTTTTGCAACTTGATTGTGGGGTTCTCAAGTGTGAACTTTGTGGATGACAATGTTCGTCATGTAAAATAAACGTATGTATGTTCTCACTATTTGTACGCATGTATGGCTTCAGTTTTATGGCGGTGTGCAGCTTCCATTTGTGAGCAACTATTTTAAAAAATGAAGCATGCTAAGAGTAAAATTAGAACCAAAGTATCTGATGAGCACCTTGAGAACTCACTGAGAATTGCAACTACTTCCATTGAACCAGATATTGATGGATTAGTTTTTCAAATACAATCTCAAATATCCCACTAGTTTTATGTTGCCCTCTTTTCTTTTACTTTTATAATAAGAATATAAAAATCAATGAAGTTTTATTACTTAGATATGTTCATTTTCTATGTTAGGAATTGCAAACTTGGAACCCGCTCAATGATTTTAAAGGGCTCTCCAAATGGGGCACTGCATAATTAGAATTATTATGTGAGAACTTTTTTGCTTATCTGGATGGTAGTAGATATCATGAATATTATGCACAGATTATTATTTTTTCCTCATTAGTTTTCATTAGTGTTTTTGTATTTAATGTGTGGCCCAAGACAACTCTTCTTCCCATGTGGCCCTGAGAAGCCAAAAGGTTGGACACCCCTGCTGTACACCTACCTACGTACAAATTCTCTCTCTCTCTAGTACCTGTAGTTACTTTATTATTACTGTATTACTGTAATTATTACAATGCTGTATTGTTTTTAAGATGTTTTAGTGTATATGGAAGTGTTCCTTAAGTGTTTTATATGTATAGAAAGGGGAAATACATACACTAAGACAAACATTTGGCTTACTCATGACTTACATACAAATCGACTTATGGATATTCTCAGAAATTGAACTAGTTCTTGACCTGGGGACTACCTGCAATACTGGCTCTGACTCCAGAACAATGCACCAGGAATACTGGGAGTTAGAGTCCCACCCATCTGGAGGTCACCAGGTTGAAGAAGGCTGCACTGCACTAACCTATCCAACACTAGTTAGATTGTAATAACAAATCATCTAAGATTTTTTGGATACTTAAGAATGTTCAATAAAACAAATGTGTGCAGTTTTGTTCTATGCAGCATTATTCAGAAGTTATGCATACATGATTGCAGCCTTTGGTAAAACATATTTTTAAGCCACCTATCTATTTCATTTCAAGATAATCGAATTGGTCACAGTCCCACGTTTATCAGTTCACCAGTGAGCTGACATAATACCTAGGTAACTATCATCACAAAGCAGCGTTTTGTGAAGTGCCAGCGTTAAGGCAGTTATCGCTGTCTGAAGTCTACGTTTCAGTTCCCTCTAACAAGTGTATATCTGTTTCCCCACATCCCCGCCATAACATACATTATATAAACCTGCCAACTTGAAGATAACAAATAAGGCAGTATGTGCACCAGAGTTCGTGTCAGAAAAAAAGTGCTTGTCTTTACAGTGCTGCAAGACTCTCTGCTGTTCTTATTTGGAAATAAATCGGTGTGTGACTCCAGTAAAACTAGCAGAGGGGCGGTAAAAGCATGGTTAGAAGAGCAAGGATTTAAACTGAACTACCCTAGGTCCTTAATATAGCATGACTGAAGGCTATGGTAGAGGACTGGGAGAAGCACGTAGCTTGGGTATGGGGTTCTCCTCTGAAGGCACAATAGGCCAGCGATAAGGCAGATACCAGAAAAGAACTGGGACTGCCGAAGCAAAAAACGGCTGGAGGGAGAGGCGAAGGTACCCGCCGAAGGAGCACGCAGTGGGAAGAAGGGCCCCCTTCGCTATAGCAGCCGGCCTCGACTCCGCTTTCACACGCAGCTTGCTTAGACCCCAGTCGGGAAAGAGAGCCAGGCAAGCGGGGGCAGAGACTGCCTTGGTGCTTCGAACATTTTTAAGCCGCTTTAATTCCCAACCCTCCTGCGTACACACGGCTCGCGTCCTCCGCTAGTTTTTAAGCGCAACAAACTACAATTCCCGGCACACCATTCTCATTTCTCAGGGCATGCCGGAGGTTGTAGTCTTGGAAGGGGGTGCTGCCGAGTGAGGGGAGGCCAAGGCGGGAAATCCTGGCTTCCATCCCTCGCGGGATTGGGGAGCCAGGCGGCAGCGGGCAGATCGCGATTGAAAAACCCCTCGGACTCTTCCCGTTGTGTCCCGTCTCTCCTTACCATGAATTCCGGGTCCTACAGCAAGAAACGCGAGGCCACCTCAAGGAAGCGGGAGGAGATTCAGGCGGCGCCGGAAACAGTCCTGTTGCAGCTGCTGCTCCGAGGCGGCTTTGGAAGGAGTTTTCCACCGATGAGCCCTTCCTTTTTTCTTTCAAGGAAAACGGCAATAGCAGAGGTGCTTTTTTCCGGTGTAAATAGGTGACTGTGCACATGCCGCAAGGCCTAAGGATACAACTAGCCAGGCCCTGCTATTCCACAAAGCGTCAAAACACCAAATGTGCAGCAGTGTCAAACCAAACTTGCAATACACTTCTATTTATAGTACTTATAATTTGCATAATTTGTGTCTGCGTGTGTGTTTTGCCAACATCGGTATACGTGGCCTTTGTTTATGTTATTCTTTGACATCATGCCTGCACGGAGCTTGCAATCTAAATACTGGGTTGTATCTAATATTAATACTACTTAAAAACAGACCCATTTAAATGAATGGGAATTAAACTAGCACTGGATACAACCCAATGCATGAATGTCACAACTCTATCACCTCCCCCATATTGGCCCAAGAAATGATTACTTATTTACTTATTATGCAAATCAAGACCCCTAGAAAAACAGATTGTGTAAAAGACTTAAAGAAATGCAGTTGTATATACATAGGATTCATGAATGCATTAAACTGAATGATGTCACCCCACATACACACAAGAGTTTCAAGTGAAAAGTGCTATTGACAAATCTAAAGATGCTACTCAGGCAGACTGGCTCACTTGGGTAATTTTTGTAAACAAGTGCTTGCAGAATATAGAGTAGAAAGGTGTTGTCATTCAATGTCAGTAATGCAGTAACCTTTTAGTTCTAGCTGGACTAATCAGATCAGAAATAGTTTGGAAAAGGATAAGGCCTGGTCAGTTTGTGGAAAGTAAAAACTAGCATGATTATCTGTCAGTGTTAGTATCTCTCAGGGAAAAAGAAGGTAGGTGTAGCTATCCCTCCATTCAGCGGCAACTTCGACCTTGCAGAGATAGAAGCTGGCAGCCTTCTCTGAGAACCAGAGAGGTGGGGTTGCATAGGTACCACTGAGGTTGAAGCTTTACTCTTGAAAAGTAGAAGATAAATACCCAGATTGAATAGAGGCCTTGTAGTTGGGTTAAATCCCCTGTTGGTCAATTAGGAAGATTATTAGTCATATCTTGGCTTTAAAAGCAGATACAGAACAGTAGAGGAATATCTTGTCTTCCAGATCTGCATCCTTACCACTGCCTAAACCTAATGGGGCACTCTGTACATAAAGTCTTCCTAATTTGGACTTTCATCTCACTGAAAGTTTAATGTTAAGAACCTGCCATGAAAAGAGCTGTTGTTCTTTTATGCATTGCTGTGGGCTATGGAATTTGTGCCTTTGCCATTGAGAAGCCCATTGATATGGAATAATTCCTGTCCTCTAAACATTCCAATGCCTGTATCCACATTGCATGAAGATTCCAAAGCTGGGAGCCTTGGGGGCTGCAGTATCTCCATGTGGGGAATTTCTTTGCTGATCTTGTTCTGCTCAAATAAAAGTCTCACCAAGAGGTCTGGACACAATACCCAGAGGTTCCAACTGAAGCAGCAAAGCTGGCTCTGACTTCTGTAGGTGTGAACAGGTTAGTTTCAGGCTTGTTTCTAGGATGCCTTCCATTTATTGCATAAGTAGCTAAGAGTTGCTCTGATCCTTCCTTGTCTCGGAAGCAACTTTGAGCTGGTGAGATCCCTTCCTTAGACTCCTGTCTATGAATGCTTGGGAAGGCACTGCCATGCTGCAGAACTGACTGCTGAATTCTGGCAGTGGCAGAAAGGTACCCTATAACTATTCCTTTGCTTCAACTTATTTTTATTCATTCAACTAGCATTCTGGAAAAGTAAATAAATTATTCAGGCCCTTAACTTTATAGTTAAAAGTGCTTCCACCAAAGCTGGTGATCATCCTCCTAGGCTGTCCTGTCAGGTCAGGGAACTTGGTGATTTAGCACATGATTTGCAGGCAGAAGGTTCAAGGTTCAACCCCAACTTACTTCTCTTGTTAAAAGGAATTTCATGTGGCAGGGCTGGCCCAGCATGAGGAGAGTAGATGTAAGTTTCTCCACGCCCCCGCTCCATTGTGCTGGAATTTGTCAAATGTCTAAACTGATGGGCGGTAGATTCAAGATGTGCAAAAGAAAATACACCTTCACACAGTACAGAATTCACTTAGGGAATCTGCTACTGGATGATATGTCTGTGATTCCTAGGTTTAATAGAAGATTCAGCAAATTCATGGCAGTGGTGATAACTCAATGGAATCTCCACAATGGGCCTCTGAAAATTAGATTCAGGGAGGTAAGTCATGGTAGATGGATGCTGCTTTCACGGCTTCCTCTGGCTTCTCATGGCTGCAAATAGGATGCTGACCTAAATATACCCTTGACATGATCCAGCAGAACCATTCTTATGGTTAGAAAAGATCTCTGCCTGAGGCAGTCAGAGGGATGGACAGTAGTGAGCTAGATCAGGGGTCCCCAGTACAGCACCCACAGGTACTTCCAGTGTGAAGAAGCACCCAATGTAGTGCCCACAAACACCCAAAATAATCCTTGAGTTTTTAAAAATCTTCATACATTGATTTGTATGGAATGCAGGCTAGTTAGACATAGGGTTCAACAAAAACAGACCAAATATACAAATATGTATCCATTTGAAGTTGGTGCCACCTGTTCATATATCAAAAGTGCTGTAAAGTCCTTGATCCATTGCAATATAGCAAGTGGGTATCTTTCCTTCCAGTTTTGTAATAACAGACTTTTCGCCTGTTCAAAAAGCTCAGAGAATCAATTTCCTCTTTCATTTGTTAATTCCATGAAGCAGGTAAGTAATTTAAAAAAGCATGAACATCAGTGAATATTAAAGACTGTTCCAAAGATAAAAATTATCTATAATAACATTCTCCTCAAAAGAAGCAACTACTGGATATTGCCAAACACACATTTAAAAGAAGCATTAGCTGCATTGCACTGCCAGTAATTAACTATTAGATAATTCCTTATTAAAAGATGTTGCAGTAGTATCCAGTAGACATGAAGCAACTGGTTCTGCTGAGTAAAATGCAGCCTATGACCCACAAATGCAACAGGGTGAGGCCAAAGTGGCAATCATTAGGCATTTTGTGGGGGTTCCCACAGCAGTTGCTCAGATTCCCAAATGTATCCATGGACGCAAAAAGCAAAAAGGCTGAGGTCTCCTGGGCTAGTTGGACCAATAGTCTGATAGCCTAAATCAGCTTGCTATGCTCCTATGTCTACACAGTACTGGGTTTCTCTCTTGTAAGAACTGCTTACAGGCAGCACTGCCTAGCCATGTGTGCTGCAAAGATAAAATACTTGCCAGCCAATGGAATAGGGTGACTATGCATCCTATGTAACAGAGGATAGTCCTCTATCTGAAGAACTGTCCAGGTTCAATTTAAGACCCATAAGAAAGCAGAACAGATCAGGGACCTTAACATTGTCTGGCTAAAGTTATCACCGGGATAGCAGTCTGAGCAAGCAGACAGATCATCTGGCCATAGTCTTCCTTGCTATATGGAGAAATGTGTTATATTCCCATTTAAGTTATAATCATTATCTCTAAGTTTGCTTCGATACATATGATTAGCACATACAAATACAGTGCAGTTTTGTGTCTCCTTTTGTCTTTTTATTTAATTCTGTTGTATTTTTGGGGAATGCATAAGCAGTCACTCTACAGTAGACATATGGGTACATGGGATGTCAACCTTCCTTCTTCCACCATGCAGATTCATCCAACTACAGAGGATAACAGGAGTCAGAAGAAACCACAACACATAGAATTAGAATGGCATCACCAGTCAGTCAACAAATTAGGGTTGAAAACTGCAGTGAAAATCTTTACACATATGCATATACAGTCACACAAAATAATGTTGCCTGTGTAGATTATCCCCACATTTCTGGAGGATGGAAAACCCAAATGTGTCATGTGATCTGTATAGCAAGAAAAGTGGCAGTCAGCTAAAGGACAACGGTCCACTTGAGAAGGTATTTTACTACAGCACAAATGGTACCAGTAAGCCTGGGACTGCAAGGTGTATTGGGCTATTCTTCCCTTGGAAATGGGTTGATGAAACTGATTAAACTGTTAAAGATAAAAAGGCAGATGTATAGAAAAATGGACCAATTTCTTTCCACACCCCAAAGTACAGGGTTGGCAACCTGGGATATAGTCCAAAGCATCTGGAGGGTAACTCACAGAAATCCTAGCCAGCCTGATCAATGGTCTGGGATTATGGGAGCTGTGAGCCAAAACATCTGGAGGATATCAAGCTATCTATCCCTGCCGTAGTACATCCACACATAACTGCACTGTTAGCCCCATGAACTAAGCCTGTATGCTGCCCAGCACTACGAGACCAGTCAATTCTCCACATGCAGATAAATTAAATGGGATATCTTAATGCAAGCTGCCAGAAGTGAAGAAAAGACATGTCGAAGGTTATGCTGATGGAATCTCTAATACAAAGAGAAGGAGTGTTAAAAAAGACTGTTTTGTGCAGGCTCTCATGCAGTTTTCAGATTTGCTTCCAGAATTGCCTGAAACCAGATTCCATTGAGAGACTCTTGAGTACCTGTGCTTGTATAATGTTTCTGTCCAAATAAGGACTCTCCTCCAGACAGTGGTGTAGTGAAGCCAGGGCATGCAGGGTTGAAGTGCCTTGTTGTTCTGATTAGCAAGACTTCCTTGTTCCCCCTGAGCTTAGCTGCAATTCTCACAATAACTTGGGGTTGTGGGGAGAAGGCATTTTCCCAGCAGCAGCAGTTTCTTGTTGGGAGGTATCCCTGTGGTAATGCAAAGTATTTTGGAGTGGCTTGGTTTCAAATGAGCAGCTTAAATGCATTAACCTCACATAATGCCTTTTCTAGGAGATGAAAGCTCCTAGAACCAGTTTGTTGATATGGATCAGCCCAGCTGCCTGAATGTTTGGACTCTCTTTGAGGGGTGGCTACAGGAACTGGTATGATGAGCGCCTGCATTTCAAAACGTATCCCAAGATCAGCACAGCGGCATTGTCTCTTGAGCTACCTGTTTGCCACATTCATGATTCTCCAAATTTCCTCGTGCAATGCCAGGCTCCTGCTCTGTCCCCGGCTCCAATTCTGACTCCAGCTTCACTGTTCCCTGGTTCAGCAGAAGGTCTGTGGCTTCCCCTTCCGAATGGTACAATTCTTCCAGGCCATGAACATTCACCATCTCTTCTTTGTCTTTTTCAAGGGGACACAGCAGACAGAGAGGAAAGCCCTTGCACCTTGAGCATGGCGGGTGCTTCCTCAGGGCTGGAGGCAACTCATATCTTTGGGCAGAACCCTTGCTGTTTTGCTGCCAAGAATTGTCCCCTGTCTCTGGCTTGCAAGATGATGAATGGCTGAGCAGACCACGCTCCTGCAGGGTGCCTTGAAGTTAATAACAGGGTAACTTAAAAGAAGTGGGTGTTAGATATCTCTACCTTGCAATAGCTTACCTAAGTTACACCTTCCAAACAACCAATCCAAATCAATGCATTAAACTACAAAAACAGATAACAACAAGCCAATAAAACCTATCTAGAGCCAGGCCAGAAATAAAACAGATCAAAGGCCTAGTGGAACGAACACATCTTCATTTCCTGACTGAAAAACATTAATGAGAGGGCCAATCTAACCTCTCTTGTGCGGGAGTTGGGGGGTCATCACAATGAGAAGGCCCTGCCATGTGCTCTCCCTAAATGTTTCTCCTGGTGGAAGAAATCAGCACAGTAATGCCTCCATCAGTGGGGAGCTGTGAAGAAGCAACCTTCAAGTAATGAGAAAAATGACCCTTATAGAGACAGAGTTTTAGTATGGCATGTTGCTGCACCAAAATTCTCACAACCACTGCAGTAGCAATCACAACTGCTATCTCAAAAGGTTTCCCATCTCCATGGGGTATCCTTTGTCAACATGGGAACAAACATGGACGCTGCCAGTTCTTAGCAGATCTGATTATTCTCCAGAAGCAATAAAATGTCATTACTACTAATACTTGAACATCTACTGCAGACCATCTTACGGAGTTGAGCACAAGGAGGTCAAATCCCATCAAAATAAAGTACCTGTAGCTTCCTTACCCGAGACTGTGTTTTCCAAGAAGAAAGACAGGAATCCAGTAATAAAGGCTGGAACCATCAACAGAGAAAGGAGAAAGAGATCCACAGGAACCCAACCTGCAGAAATGACATCACAGGTATCTAGATATGCCATCACCTAGTGCTGTTCATGCAACATCCCTCTAAGTTGTCCCAACAGAACTTCCAACAGTAAACAGTTGTAACTGGAATGGATCAAACATGTATTTCTGCAAACCATTTCTGAAATGAATTGAACAGTAATCATTATTGCATAAATTTTGTGTAGACCTTGTTATAGCACATTATAATTTATTTATTTATTTAGAATTTTTGTATGCCGTCCCATTGCATAATCAGGGTGCTAGAACTCATCTATTAGGAATACTGGATACAACATCTCCAGATTTATTTAGTATATATTTCTGCTCAAAATCTCTCCCCATTTTTCCATAAAAACATGATCAGTTCTTTTCACCTTTCAGAAACAGATGCCATAGTAAAATAGCATAGAGCAGCAGTGGAATAAATACAATAAAAACAAAGAATCAGAATAAATAGGAAAAGCAAAATAGTTGTATTTACAAAGAATGAAAATCCTCAAGAAAATAACATCCTCAGGAAGCTGCCATTTATGCACTGAAAGCTACAAACTAAAAGGTAAAAGTTTTTATTTATGTTATTTATGTTATATTTTACATTGCAAGCCGTCCTGAGGCTTTTTTTGCGAATAGGATGGCATATAAATATTTTACATAAATAAATAAATAAATAAATAAATAAATAAGTCTGGCAAAGTAAAAATGTCTAACTGAATTACTATACGTTGGGCAAGGCTGAAGGCTCTGTCATTGTTACTGCAGAATGTGCTCTCTCCAGCTTCCCCACTTCCTACAGCCTGAGCATGTCAAGTCTCCAATCTCAGCACCTGTGGCCAGCGACTCTGGCGCAGCGAAGAGCCACTTTGGAACCAGCAATCCCATGAAAATGGTGAAGCCCACAATGAAGATGTTCCTGCCTGAGTCAATGTCTGTGTGTTGGAAGTAGGAGACTCCAGTGCCCACGGCCACGCTGTACGTCATACACAGCACTCCTCCTGTGGATGGTGAAGGAGACAAAGCAGCGGGATAGAATTGAACAATGGGGCAAGAGTGGGCAGCAGGGTGAGGTGGAGGAAACAAACGGTCCCTTGCTATTCAACAGGGCACCCTGAAAGTGCACCTGCCCATTTACAGTGTTGCTGCAGGTGCCTGGGGTCAGTGATAGATTGCATAATCACCTTCTCTTCTGGTTTCTCTTCTGACATTGGCGTAAAGTGGCCAATGGCAGTGTGAAATGCCTCAACCTGGGGGCAGGGAGATGCAAGAAGTGAAGAGAAGGGAGCATTGATTACCATGAATTCCCAGAGGAATGGTGGTAAGGAGTCTCACAAGCCGGGGAGACAGGCCCAGCAATACACATGCCAATGCGCTGACCCACACTGAGCGAAACGAAGTTGCCTGGAAATGGGAAACGGCGTAAGAGAGCTTGCCACTGCCTTTAGTCTGTTCAGTGTATGTTAGTTTTTCTTTTGTTCTGTAGTTTTTTCTATATAATTGTATATGTTGGGATAATAAAAATTAAAAGGAAAGAGAGAGAGAGCTTGTCACTGGCAAGTTACTTCCCCACTGAGCTGGCCAGGAACATCCTCTGTGCATGTTTATCCCACAGATCCTCAGCATTCCTCAGAGTGTCAAAGCGGGGCCTGCACTGGAGGGAGGAAATTGTTGGAAAACCTACCAGTGCAGAATGGACACCTTGGTGGGAGAACTGACTACTCAGCATAGTCCATGCTCTTCAGTCACATGAAAGACAGGCCTACTTTAGCCTGTTCCATATTCCCCTCTCCCTTGAAGGGGGACATTGGACATGTTGCCAAGGCAACCTATGAATGGGCAGAGTCCACAGAGCAGCTCTAGGAGGTTAGCCTTCCCAGTGCTCAATTTACTGGGATGGGGCGCAGTTGGGGAAACTAAATGAGATCCATATGCCTGACCCATGCTCCTTCCTACCTGGGTCAGGCTGCCAGCGCAAGCGTTGGGCATGCTGGACGCGGTTCCAGATATGCTCCCCAGCACGGCAGACAGGAGACTGCCGAGGCCTTCGCAACAGAGCCCTCTGTTGCATGAATGTTGCGGTGGGGGTGGATCCCGGAGGGCCTTGCTACACAGCAAGTAGCAGCCTACAGAATTCACACTTGCAGCGAGACCCATAGCAGCACCGATGCCCACTGCACGGGGACTGAACACTGGCCAGCCCTGCTCACCTGCAGAGAGAAAGGAAGGAAGGTGAGTGAAACCCAGACAGCAACTCAACAGAAGCACAGTCTGCTCAGGCTGCATGCTACCTGGGTAAGGCATCTTAAGCCATGGGGAGTGCAAGGTGCCATTGGTAAGAATCATGTGGTGGGCAGAAGGATGTAACATGTCCCAAGGGGTTGGAGCAGGTCTCAAAATCCCACAGATGAGCCAGATTCCACAGAATGGCAGCAGAACCTATTGGAACACAGAGTGAAAGAGAGAAGCATCAGCCAATCTGTCCCTCATGCTTCCCCTGGACCCACCAAAGGAAGTGACAGACTCCCCTTTGCTACATGTGTTTAAGGAGAGGCCAGATGGCCACCCACCAGTGAAGTTGTTGCAGCAGGCTTCCTGTAGCTGCAGGTGCAGGGGGTGGGCTAGAGGAAGTTTGGCATCCCTTGCAGCTCTTTGATTCTACAAAGAACCTCAGCTGTCTCAACCTCAAGGATTTTACACATAGATTATTTATTTAGTGATACGTGATGTTGACATATATAATCTACAACATTTGGATAGCTCTCCATATCTAAGTAGTTTTCTGAGCAGCGAACAGTAAAAAGATAAAGTAGATTATCTTTATAATAAAGTAGATTATGTCAAAAAATAGGTGCATACACATAGGAAAAGTCATGCCAACAGTAAGTGTAGAGAATTGGCTTTAGAAAAGTAGGGTGGGTCAGCACATCCCAAAGCAGAGTCCTGCAAGAACCCTATGAAGCTCAGAAGTCTGCAGAGGAAAAGCACTGCCTCCTTGAATAAGAGAGGCATCTGCAACACATCTGATCAATGCAGCACTTCAGGGTAAAGCGTCCCTAACAGATGGCTGTCCAGCTGCATCTTGAACACCTAAAGTGTGGGAGATCCCATGGCTTCCTGAGATAATTGCTTCCATTGTCATATTGCTCTAATACTCAGGATTTTTTTCCTGATGTTCAGTCAGTACTTGAAGGGTGCTATCAAATCTTTCCTCCATCTTCTCTTCTGAAGACTAAACATGCCCAAGGTCTCTTCTTGCAGAGCTTTGATTCCAGTCCTCTGATCATTCTTGTTGCCCTCCTCTGAAACTTTTTTCAGTTTGTTTGCATCTTTCTTAAACAGCAGCACCCAGAACTTGATGCAGTACCTAAGATGAGGCTTAACCAATGTCGAGTAAATGAAAACTAGTATTTCATGTGATTTGGAAGTGATACTTCTATTAATGAAGCCCAAAGTAGCACCTGCCCTTTTTGCAGCCACATCACATTGTTGATCTGTATTCAGTTTGTGATCTGCAACTATTCCAAGATCCTTCTCGCTTGTAGTATTGATGAGCCAAGTATTCCCTATCTTGTAATTATGCATTTTTGTACGTGCAGAACTTGGTGTTTGTTCCTATTAAATTTTGTTCTGTTGATTTCAGCCCAGTGCTCCAATGTCTCACGATCTCTTTGAATTGTCTTTCTGTCTTCTGGGATATTAGCTATCCAACCCAGTTTTGTGACATCTGCAAATTTGATGAACATTCCCTGTACCTCCACATCCAAATAATTAATAAACATACTGAGGAACACTGGTGCAGGAATGAACACCATAGTACCTTGTTCATTATCTCTCCCAAATCACCAGGATTCCCATGGGCAACAATGATCAATATGGCAGCTTGCATCTGTGGTCTAGTTATACCCCCATAAACCCCATAGAATAAGAGGAACCTGCCACCTCATGGCTCCTTCAGGCTTTCTTTAATACAGGTGTAGGCCACATGGAGCCCATGGGCTCTAGTGTGACCCCAGAAAACTTTTCTTGGTTCCCACTGAGGATCCTACTTTACCTACTTTTATTTTAATAAAAATTAACAAGTTATGTTTCATATGTTGAATATCTTATTAACCCCACAGGTCAGTTGCAAAAGTAACCAGCTCATGTGCAAGGATTACGCCATGCTGTAATTGTCAATTTAGGGCATTAAAGATACAGGTGATACCAGGGGTGGAAGGACACAGACAGTAGAGAAAGGGATTGCAGCGGGATGGTATCTGATGAATCCATACTGAAAACATGTGCAGAGCTGGGCCTCCCATTCTAAGAGAGAGTCCCTTGTCTTGGCTCCACTGGCAGAGGGGCAGCCGGCAAGAAGCGAGGTGCTGTGATAGCAAAACACTCAGCGACACAAGCCTAAAAGAGATGGAAAGTAGGTGACATTCAGCAAAGCATTGCCATAGGCAAAGCACATTCAATCATAAGAAGATATGCATATACCAGGAGCTCCCTCTTCGGAACAGTACAGTTCCAAGGGGTGTCATGGTTCAGTTGACCCAAAATAGATGCCCTCTTCCCTCATACTTTCTCCTGTTTCCATATTTATGGTAGGAAAAAAATCACAGATCAAAACAACAATGTATCTTTGATAGAACTATTAGGAAAATCTAGAACAGATTCAAATGAGTTCAGATTTCTCTGAACCCAACTTGTAGATTCTAGAGTGCATTAGCTTTTTCCAAGATGGGCAAATTCTGCAGACTTGGACTTTTTTGAAACTTGGGTGGGCAGGGAGCATTTATTCAAATCTGCATTATTGCAAATGGAATGATATTCTCATACATTCATGAAAAAATTCAAATCTGTCAATGAATGGCCACAGAACGAAAGATGTCTGCTGGTCCATAAAATACAGACACAGCAAATTTAACAAAGCCCATACATCTCTAATCTTTGGCATTCTGCATCCCAGCACTAATAATATTAGAGCAAAAACTAGTATAGAAATGCAAGTTTAAAAAATGTGACATTCTGAACACCTACTTTGAAGGAAATGTCAGAATTCGCAAATATCCAAGCTGCACTTAGTTTTCATCGCAATGAACTCAGATTCTGAATATCTGACATCTGGAGCTTCATCCTCAAAATTCTGGGAGATTTTTTGTCCCATTTAAATTAGGATTTGAGAAAGTCGTCACATTTGAACATCTCTGAATTTCTGATTTCAGCCATAATGTGCCCAGCTTCCCTTCTGCTGGGAAAAGCTTGAAACAGAATAGTTGGAGTTCCCCACCCAAACAGAGTTCTTTCTCCACGTACCCTATCCATGCCACCTCTCATTTATTTAAAATTAATTATTCATCTTAAACTATGTTAGGACACTTTTAAACCCTCAGCAGACCTCTTGTTATTGGGTGATATTGGAGAACGGCACCTAAGCTTTTGGCTTCTGAAAAGCTTTTCTTCTGAAAAGGGCTAGTTATAAGAGTTTTCAAGAACGTACAGCAGAGCTACTCCCCAGTTCTCAGAGCAGAGAAGAGCAGCAGGCCTGTATGCCGACAGTCCAATGACAGACAGGCTTGGTGCCAGAACCATGGGGCCACAACGATGGGCAATCCACCCACAGGCTCCAGACACCCCCAAAGCCAGCTGCACCAGAGCCGAGACTAGCACTGCGCCAGAGACCTGGGGGGGAAAGTAAGAGAGGGAGGATTAAATTATAAACCTCGTTACCTGCCTCCTCAGGGCTACTGGCCCTATCCTCTTTGTTTCATGCAGGTAAGAAAGGCTGGCCCTCCCATTAGGCAGAATGTGACATCCTCAGGCTGCAGATTTGGGGCATCACAAAAGGAAAGCAAATAGTTGCTTGTTTAGTGTGATGCTATTATATTTCTCGTTCCAGCAAGGGAGAGAGGTACAGTGGGGGTTTTTGGCCTCGTCTGTGGCCTTTGCAAGGACATTTAGCCAGGCATATCTCATATAAGGGGTGAAGTTCTTCCTTCCTGTACCAGCTGCCAGTCAATTCTATCAGATGATCCCATATTCCAGCATTGGGTGGTTTGGGGTAATTTATACTTTGACCTGGGGTTGCAGGAGGTCACCATTTGCTGTGCTACCTCAGGGAGAAAAATGTATTAGGCTGACCCGTCAGGCAAGATAGAGTGGGAGGAAATGGAGGAAAACACTGGTGGGAGTGCTAGGGAGGGACTGGAAGAGATGACAAAGCAGGCAAGAGAAGCGTCTGCCAGTTTCCTCATCCCTTTGCCACAGTGTGGTGGTGAATGCCTTTCTGTGCATCACAGTGGCCATAGGACATGTCATGTCATGTCATGTCACAACAATAATAGTGCCATGAGGCCAGCACGACCACCATGTTGATATCTAACATTCAAAGGAAGCCAAGACACCGAGACTTCCTGGGATCTGTTTGTGCCACCCAAGCCAGCCTCCTGTATCAAATTGAACAGTTCAAAGTGGCCAACCTCACAGAATAACTGGTCCCAGTTTCTTGTGTTTTCACAGTCTGGCCCAGCACATACATCAGGAACTTCAGTGCCTGGAAGGGAGAAAAGTGTAGAGTATGTCATTGATATGTATAATTTAAGGCTAACTAGCCACTGAAGTACAGAACACAATAAATAGAAAAGGAAGACCCAGAATTCAGGCTAATGAGAAGATAAAAATATGATAACAGCCATGTTGGATTGGATCAAAGGCCATCTAGTCCAGCATCTGGCAAGCAGCTGCTAAGTGGATTGCAGGTTTCATGAAAGTGATCTGTAGAACTCACTGTCTCTAGATGGAATGCTGCTATACAGGACAAGCAAGGTTTTTAAGCAGGATGGGCAATTTGGGGTGGTCCAGGGGTCAGTTTTCAGTCCTTGGATTGTTCTGGGGGCCACACTGCAGCTGCTGCATTGCTTGTAGTAGCAACATGAATTGGTAGCTTGCTGCTGAAATTCATTGGCAGGCACAATAGAGCTACATTTAACATGAAAACAACCTACATTTGGAACGTTTGAATCTCTACAGTGGTTTGCCACTGACATTACAATGAGGCAAATTTGACATTACAATTTGCATGGCTTAATATCCCTGCAAAGGCCAAGGTGACATGGATGGCTTTTGAAATCTATGGTGGTATCAGTTTATCAGTGGCTACCAATTATGACAGGCAATGAAATGTCCAAGATTCGATTCCTCACACTATTCATCACTGCAGGATAGGGACAAAGCACATGGGATAGCATTACCTCCATGCTTTCTCATGAAATTTGGTAAGACACACAATCGCCTGGTGTTGGAGATGGACAGTTGGGCGGGATAGTCAATACACTGATCCAGAAAGACATGCCCCCCTAACTTGCCTTTCTGGATGAGTGCAATGGCCATCTAGCCCGCCTTTCTGTCCCCTGCAGTTAACATATGACAACTTATTTGAATTAACATGATGACAGAATTTATTTTTGAAATATGTGATCATCCAACACTAAGAAGTGTACTTTTGGTGCAGCCATACAGGATCTACTGAAGGCTGGGTCTCATCATGTGATGGAGCCTTTTGCTAGATCCAGCACTCAACGGAAGTGGCACAGGAAATCTTGCCATCTTTGCCCTGTGGTTAAAATGTCCTGTGCCCAGTGACTATGCAGCTGGAAGAGATACGCTAGTCCATTACTCACTGTTTCCTTTCAAATGGTGAATGGGAGCAATATGTTGGGTCAGTACTATAGCTGGGATGAGGAACTCAAATGATGGAGCCTGAACCAATGGCAACCTGCAGAGAAGAGACAAGAGCAACCATGCTGCAAGGAGTGAAACATGTTAAAGATCACTTTAGGCAACTGGGTGTTGTTCAAATATTTTGAACTACAGCGCCCATAATCCCTGTTCATTGGCCATGCTGGGTGGGGCTTCTCAGGGGTTGATCCTGAGCTGTAGAACTCCCTGCTGAGGGAGGGTATGTTATCTTTCCACTTGTTTGCTCCCTCTGTTGTCTTCCATCAGTAATCAAAGTCATTTTATTCAAACAGGCTTTTGGCATGTATACAGTTCTGTTGAGTTGGGTCCTGTTTTCATTTTCTTGCTGTGTTACTGCATTTGTTTTATTATTCTTTTAATCACATCCTATTTACCAATGATGATAAGCTGCCTGGGGTGCCATTTTTCTTGGTAGAAAGGCTGGGTGCAAATCCAACCAATAAACCAAGCAAGTATGGGATCTGCAGTGCAAAACTTCTGGAGGGAAGGTTGCCTACCCCTTGCCTATGGTAAGGAACTTTTATCCAGAGCTCACATAGAACTGGACCAATTTCCAGAATATTACCCCCAACACCTTTCCTCAGCTTAGGCTTCAAAAAGTATAATAACCCAAATGGAGTCCCTGGCCAGTAAGAAAAAATGCCCCTCCACTAAGCAAGGCTGTGTGATTGGGAAGGGTCAAGGACCACTGAAAGCCGGCTTACCTGGCCCCCAGTCCGCACTGTAAGGCTGTGGAAATGCCACAGGCAAAGAGGTTGCGTGCCAGAAGCTCATCCCAATGCGGCGTCCCACTCACTTCTTCATGTGGGAGGGTGGTGATGAAGAGAAAGTGAAAGATGCAGAGAAAAGACACCTGGACCAGGAGATGCTGGTGGGGAGGGGTGGGGGGAGGAACAGCAGGCTGTGGTGAGCCTGAACAGCACCCAGCCACAGACCCTTGCCCAAAAGTCGGCATGACGCACCTATAGAGCCACAATCTTAGCAAGGCTTCTAGCCCCAGTGACACCCCTGCTCAGCCATTCATCTCAGCCAAACCCACAGTTCCACCTTTAATCCATCCCTAGCAGTCCACGTCAGGATACAGCAGCCCTCAGTTCTCTAACCCAGGTGATTCTCACCCCACTGTCAGCCCTCAAACCTTGACTCTTGGCTGAAGCTGAGTAGCCAGGAGCCTGGAATCATACTTTGCCTGTATCTAACCACCAGATGCTGGACCTTTGCACATCTGTCATGGCCCTTATCGCAAGGCGGTTCCCTTTTCTTCAGGATGTGATTCTTCTCAGCTGCAGTGCTACCTTGCAGCAACCCAACTCACCTGCAAAGCCAACAAGCAGCTCAGGGGCCAGGCAGGCAGTTTGGGTTCTGAATAAGGATGGGGAAGGATGCTCCGGGAAACTGCGTTGGCTCTGTTCATGCTGTCAGCCTCTTCCTTTCTCTTTGTGCTGTCCTCCTGCCCGGAAAGCGGCCTAGCAACGGGATATATCTCCAGCTCCTCCCCTTCCTTTGTTTGCTCCCTTCACTGGCAATGATACATGCCTGAACTTCCACCTTTGGCCCTTCCAGGCCACCAACTGTTAGCCATTAACTTGGCTTGCCCAGTAAACCCCCCCCCCCCTTGCTGTGAGGAGAAAGGCCTGACCAAGCAGGGAGGAAACCCAAGCAAGCTGGATTCATTTGCGACAGCATTGCCATGGGCCATGCTTGACCTACTGAGAAACATCTTCAATTCATAAGTATAAAATATAAGCCGTTTCATTTTTTGCCAGCTTAATTATTCTGCATCTCATATGGGTTGAGGTAGAAACACCACCGAGGAAAAAGAGAGCTGTCTGGGTTGGGAAAACAGCTTAGATTAACCAATAGGAACTGTCAAGGAGAAATTAGGTGGCCACTCCTTTATGTCCTTTAAAAAAAGGGGAAACACATTATTAAGAAAGGATATATTTGCATATGACTTTTTATGTGGATAGATTCAAATTTATAAAACATGATTGTAAATAAAAATGCAGTACATCTCACAGGGTTTGGAAGGCTATGACCAGGTGACGTGCATGCCTGACTGCCCTGTGCAAAGTGGTGATGGTTCTTTATTTTTAAGCTGGATTTGACTTGAGTAACCTCTCTAAAAGAGGAGCTACAACCACATTAGCGGGACAATCAGTAGTAATTTTAGGGGGGGGGGAACCCAACCTCTTTGGGGTTTGGTGTTCACAAGAAGAGAGGGGCAAGAATTGGGGTTCTTCTTCTATGGTATAGATAGCCATTTTCACACATGACAAAAACCCCAGGATTTCTGAATGTGCCGTCAACAACTACTGTGAATCCTGGCCTCCTCAGAGCAGTGTACCTGCAGGATACATCATACTGTACATGCCTTCCTTTTAGGTGTACACATAAACCATCTTAGGCAGCTGTTTGAAGTTACTGGTTTATTTACAAAATTTATATACTGCTCCATATTCCAGTATACACATTTTGGCGCAGAACAATAAAAGAAAAACAGATAAAATATGGTAAAAATGAACATCAATACAACTGTAATGTGAAGTGATTCTAACTCTCTGATGATCCCAGAGTTGTGTACCAGTGGTAGTGTCAGAAAAAGGCCAGCCATTCTGTAATGATGCTTGCTTGCTGTAACTTGCAGGAAGACCATACACAGACTGTTTCTGTGACCCAACAACTATGGCCTCAGCCAGGCCATGGGCCAAAGGCCTCTTGGCAGCCTTAACAATAGCTTTGGGGCTGCTGGCAGCAGCTCCTGATTTAGGCGCTGTGTGTTTAAAGCTGTAGATAAAAAAATGAGTGAAAGTTTTACATGTCTAAGGCTGCAGATCAGTTAGTCAGTTAGAAGCTAAACTGAGACACCTAGATGCTTGGAAAGTAACACCTGGCATAACTGCAAGTGTTAAGGGGAAGCGGTTATCAGAAAACTTTCACTAACTCTAACCACAAACTAGGTCTGGGTGACATCTACCAAGATCCCAAATGTCTCAAGAAACAATTCTTAGAAAAGACCAGCAAAACACCTGACTACAAGACCCCACTAATGACTTTCTAAAGATGCCATGGCTTGAGAGGCCAGGATTGGCCGATCTGGAACTGGAGAGCACTTGGACATGTGCAGTCCAAACTACTTGCCAATCTGTAACCTATAAAGACCATGCCCAATCCTTTGCTTGTTGTCAGCCCCACTTTTGGGCACACTGTTGACCTGTTTTGCATGCAAAATAAATGGTTTAAGGCTCTACTGGGTGTTGCTTCCCTTTTTCCTAATAATTGAGACCCTTCGGGGGAAGAGACCAAGGGCATTTTTGCAACTGTAGCATCCACTGGAGGTCCTACATAGTTATTGTTACATGCCATCATCTCCGACATATGGCAGCCCTGCTCAGCAATTCCAAATGCAAGCCCGTGGCTTCCCTAATGGAGTCTATCCATCTCATATTTGATCTACCTTTGCTTCTCTTGCCTTCAAATTTCCCTGGCATGATTGCCTTCTCCCAGGAGGCTGTCTCATGATATGCCCCAAGTATGACAGCCTCAGTTTTTCACTTTTGCTTCCAGGGAAAGCTCTGGCTTGATTTGATCGAGGACCCACTTGTTCATCTTTCTCAGTCCAAACTTGCAAAGCTGTCCTCTGACACCATGTTTCAAATGCATAAGCCCTGCACAGAGTAGACCCATTGAAATGAATGAGATTCATATTTCTAGTGAGTAACTTCTCATTCATTTTAGCAAGTCTACACTATGCAGGACTAAGAATAAAACCCAAGAGATTTCCCTCAGCCATGTTCTTCTCACAGTCCTGTGAGAAGGGTCAGTCTGAGTGGATTTGAGTCTTGGTCTCCCTGAGATTTTAGGGAGCAATCACTGTCCTCATACAATGGACCTCAAATGTATATTTATTCTCCAACCTCTCTCGTTTCAATGATGCATGCCATCTACCCCAAAAGAGTGGCCTCAATCAAGCCTGACAAATGGCTGCATTGCACTTCAAGGAGCTTGTTGAAAAGCTTAGCCAATCTATAGGAAAGTAAGGCGGCCTGTATGCAGAGCTCTACAGAATGAAAAAGCAGAAGCTGGATTTAGCCTGGTGACAGGTTTTCCTAACTTCTTGTCTCTAGAGGTGCTGAATGACTCTCAGCAGCCCTGATCATTGTCTGTGCCTGCTGGGGCTGTTGGGAGTTGGTGTCCCAAACATGGAGTACACCGGATTGGGGAAGGATAGTTTGAAAAATTATTATAGAAAGATGCACCGATAACTTTCATATTATTCTAAATTAGGAGTGTGGCCCTAGATTTTCTCTGATGCGGCTTGTAAAGCTGGTGGGTCTGCTCCCATTTTCCCCCACATGCCAGTTGGTCTAAACTATCTCAGGAAGAAGGTGGAGAACAATTTATTCTGTCCACTGCGAACACAGCAACCATTTTAAATTCTAGGCAGACTGATAGACTTGTCTTGGTTCGAAGCAAGAGAAACTCGAAACCTCCTTTATCACAAGTTTTCATGCAGTTTAGACCAGCTTCTGATACAGGTGGATTAAATACTTTTGTTCACTTTCAGTGAATGCAGAAGACTAGAATGTGGCTGCTGACTAGAATGAAAATCTATTATAGTACTTCTGTCTTGAATCAGATTTTTTTGGTCCTCATCCAGTGCAATAGTATGCCCAGAACCATAGCATTCTCTTTACTTTCCAAGACTTTTCTAGCTTAACACTTTTAGTACTTTTTAAACTATTTGTAGCTATGTTATTTTCCAATGCTCAGTTTTCTCTTGATTTTATTCAGTTTGATTTTATGCTTTTTTTATATTTGTGATTGTGATCATCCAGAGAAGCTTGGGTAATGAGCTCTGTGTTAAATACTGCAAATGCATTTTAAAGGAGAAATGAAAGGCGAGTCCAAAGCATGGGGTTATGAAATAGGCATAAATGAGACCAACGTGGGATGAAACATGACAAAGCCAGTGTCATGGAACTATTAGACTGGTAGGCAGCATTTGATGCTTCATCTGTCCAATTGGGTGGAATTCAGCTTGTTCCAGAGGATTGGGTTTTCAATGGAAACAGTGTGGTGTAGTAAAGAGCATGGGACTGGGACTCAAGACAATCTGGGTTCTAGTCCACACTCAGCCATGAAGCCAACTGGGTGACTTTGGGCCAGTCACAGACTCCCAGCCCAACCTACCTCACAGGGTTGTTGTTGTGGGGATAAGATGAAGGAGATGTAAGCTACCTTGAGCCTTTTGTAGGAAAAAGGAATGATATAAATCGAAAAATAAATAAAACAGGTACTTTTATATCCAGAACTGCCTTTGGAAGAATAGGTAGGTTTGGTGTCTCAGAGCACTTATCTGGATGTAGCATTTATTTATTATTTTATTTATTAAAACATTTTTATGCCGCCCCATTCGCCGAAGCCTCGGGGCGGCTTACAACATAGCCGCCCCGGGGCGGCATTGCAAGAGTCATTTCAACTGCTGCAACATGTTATATGTAGCCCTGTCCCTGAAAATGGTCCAGAAATAGCTGGTCCAAAATATAGCAGCATACGGAGTGGTCAGTACCATCATATTGTATCAGTACTTATCCATTAGCACTGGTTTCCTGTCCATTCTTGGAGTAAATGCAGAGTGCTAATCTTTAAAATCAGGTTATCTGCAAGGTTACCTACCTGCAGAGGCAAGATCATCCTCTGAGGCTCTTCTGCAGGTGCCTGTGTCAAATGAATGCAGTGGGTGGCTACTAGAGAAGCCATTTCAGAGGTGACATGCCAGTTGTGGAATACTCTCCCCAGAGAGGATCACCTGCCCCAATAGCTCATGTCTTTGCTCATCCACTCATTTTCTGTTAACTCCAATACAAGATCTTTCCAACTTTGTGGCAGCACCAACCATTCGTCTAAGAGGTGCCGCTCTGCACATCCACGTAATGTGGGGAGCTCCAAGGAAGTGATGTTAATTATGGTCTCAGAAGGCAACACTTTCCACAGCTTTCATGGGGACCCCAGGTGCACCACTACAGCAGATGCCAGTCTTGCCTATTTTGTTGCCTTTGTACTTGGCTGGCAATGATAAAGGTTAAATGGCCCACAAGATACTGCTCTTCCCCATCACGACACAGTCATATCACCACCCTCAGCCCAGAAACAAAGTAGTGCTTCTTTTAAGATGATCCATTCCCATCACTTTGTGGCTTTGCCTTAGCACAACACTGGAAGAGGGCTCTGTCAGAAGTACTCCCCTCTTGTAGTCAGTGCCAATGCCAGATAGTGATAGGGAGCACTACACTACAAGGTGCCGAACAAAGAGTTTAAGGGCAATATCCTTCATCAGGGGGAGCCCCTGCAGCATGCAACCATTAGGTACCTGCTGGTTGGAAGGATTGTTACTAATGACAGGGCATACTAAAGCGCTATGAACAACTGAACATCTGTAAAGCCTCAATATGAACAATGAACATATATAGAACCTCAGTAGGACCTCTACTTCATTTTGTCCTAAGAGGCAGTGGGGAGGAATGAACGAGACTGCATTTGATGGCAAAGCTGAGGGGGTCTAAGAGAAGACACACGAAGTGTGTAAGACACTGGAGAAAGACAAATGTTGAACCCAGCAACTGCACAGCAATGTGGAACTGGTAATTTCTTCCTTCAGGGAGCTACCCTGTAGAAGGAGACAATAATTCCTCACTTCCACTGTGCCATGAGTAGTGCAAAGTTACACCTGTTACATATAAGCAGCAAATAAACAATGCAGAATTTGGCTAAGAATGTCAATTTACTGCTTTCTAAATTTTTGTAATTAAACTGAAAAAGAGTTCCTCTTATCTTTTAAAATACACACAGTAGCACCAGATACTGTTCGAAAAGCTAAATGCTCCCTTGATAGAAGGGGTCAGAAGATAGGGAGTCTGGAACAATCCTTAATCCAAGCCCTGACTTTTAGTCCTGGCCCAAACATACCACATTCCATACAATGCAAGTTTTGCAAACTTTGGAAGTGGAGCCCATTGTGACTTTAGATTACACCCGGCCTCCCAGCACAGGAAAAAAAAGCAAGAAGAGATTGGTGGGACTTGACTGGGGTTTACAACAGAGAAAGAGAGAGAAACACATCAACAGCTACCTTTATTAGAAGAGATCCCATCTTCAACAGTGAAAAACTAAAGCAAAAAGTGCTGCTAAGAATAAGGTGAAGAAGTGACTGCCATCCCTCCACCCCCTCACACCCCAAGAACCAGAGGGAGCAGTCAAGCAGACAACTATAGGGCAGGGGTATCAAACATGAATCAAGCTGATGTTAACAGGCCCTGAATCAGCCCCTGCCACAGTCAAATGTCACCCTTTTCTTTCCAGCGCTATGGCTGAAGAAAACCCCAGGCTTGCTGGCATGGTTCTGACAGAGCTGTTGCCTTCTCCACTGAGGAAAGCAGATAGTTTTAACAGGTCAGGCCGACAGGAATGAGTTCACATATGATGTTAATTTTTTGCTATTTGCACACTGGCCTTGATGTAAAGAATTGCTGGCATTGGTCACTGTGGTACTGAGTCACCACAGATCATCATATCAAGTGCCTGTGGCAAAATGCCACACAAGAGAGCCAAGTGAAAAGGTGACTCATTGGCCCTGATTCAAGCAGACCTTATCTGTAAACTCACCCAAGTTCTACTCATGGAAGAAAAGTCCAGCCAAGCCTCCAGAGCAAGTAACAGGCTGAACTGAAATGGATGACAGGGTACAACAGACCCAGGCCTCGCTTTTTCAGTCTTCATTCTACCAAAGCCTACTCCTAAGATGGGATGACTCTCTCCAGGAAATGCTTTGTGGCCTCTAAGCACAGCTGCCAACTTGTGGTGTGGAAGGACAGACAGGTCAAAATTGCACCTGGTAGGGAAGTTGGCTTCCACTCGAACAGACAGCCAATGACCCCCCTCCCTGCCCCTTTCAGCCTTTCCTGCCTTGTGTGCTGTGCCTTTCAGATACCCACAGCATTTCCCATTGAGGCATCCTCCAGCCCACCCTGAAGTCGAAGCTAGGTCTCCTCCCCCCAGCCCTAGCTGGGGAACATGAAAGCCTTCATCCTTCCCAGCTCCAAAGCAGCCTGTATGGGGCACTGTTGAAGTGCTGGTGGTTCAGGCCAGTCTTTGCAGTTAGAGGACACAGGAAGGTGCCAGCCCCGGCAGGAGCAGCTGGTGCAGTGGGCAGCAAGTCCAATAGAAGCCAACTGTGGAGCTGAGTGGGTGCAGACTGTGTGGTTGGCAGCCACACAGGTGATGGGCTGACTGCAGCGTGGACAAAGTGAACGACTGAAGGGAGCTGGGGGTGGGTAAGAGAATGCATTAAGGACGCTGCTCCACAGGTAGAGTGCTGCAGCCATAACACCATTGCTTCCTGGCTGTTGTTGCTGTTCATCTTGAAAGGTTCTGTTCTCTGCTCCTAGGCATGGAGAGCTGTTAGGTAGAACCAAGTTGCGAGCCAGACGTTGCACTGGAGAGGGGAAAGGCAAGCAGGGAGCTAGAGTAGCCCTAGGGCTAGCAAACTCAGTGGGACCGGCCCTCTTCACGTACACAGTGTGATGTACTACTGCAGCTGAAGCAAGGACAGCAGCGATGCCTGTCAGGTACACCACACCAAGAATGCAAGCTAGCTGCAGAAAGAGAAAGTAAGCATGATTAAGTACTGTGCCTTCTGCCCCCAAAGTCCCCTTGCACAGAGCAACCCAGCTAGGTCCAGGAAAATACATTGTTAATCACTCCTCCTGAATCTTCTCCCTTTCAGGCATGGAGGTGCAGGCTATTCAGCCTGTGAGTGGAAGGGAGGGCTGCCAGCTGATAAGGCAGGGCTAGGAAAAGTGTGACATCCGGATATTGTTGGACTGCAACTCCCATCAGCCTAAGCCAGTATCGCTAACGGTAAGGGCTAATGGAAATTTTAGCCCAATGACATTTGGAGGGCCACATGTTCCTGACTGCTGTAAAAAAAATAATCATGTATTTCTGTCTAGATCCCATTATTTACAGAGATAACGTTTGCAAAGCTTTTTCAGTAGTGTCATCCAAAGTGTGAATTTTGGTTCTTGAGAAGGCTGGTTCTGGTTTTGTGGAGTTTTTAGAGTGAGTGGACAAATGCCGCTAGATGTGTTATCCTTTGCATGTGTGTATATCTGCAGTTCTTAACCATGCTGTGGTTGATTTTGTTGGTTTCTATGTTTTCAGCCACTTTCATCTTTTCTTCAATTAACAAGTTGAAGAGCATTCTGAGTTGAAAAGTAGCCTAGGAACTGTACTAGTAAAATTGGTAGCTTTTCATCAGGCAATAGTACAGACATAAACCCCTGTGAGGTATATCAGATCCTAGCAAGTAGGATGTTTATGCATTCATTTCCATTCTTTCCCCGCACCCCAAGAATGGATAGCTGATTTCCTCACTGCCACGCCAGTCCTCTTTCCTCATGCTGGATGCAGCCTGCTCCATCTTACCTTAGCCACCTGCTGGTAGAACTGACCCAGGGTTTGGTGCCACAGGGTTTGTTCCATTAAGACACACAAGTCAGTGTAAGTGAACCAGCCACGTCGCATGCCCTGCCTCTCAGCCACACTGCAAAAAGGAAAGGAGGAATTAAAGCCCTTGCCCTAAGTCGGACATCCCATTATGACCTTATGTCCTGGAACCACAAGTAGGAACAGTTTCCCTTTCTTGTTGCAGAAATACTATGCAAGACACTGGCAGAAATACTATGCAAGACACTGCTTCCTTTGTTTCAGGAGCTTGTCACTGTTGGCTTTGCTAAGAGCCTGTTATGACAGCAACAGATTCCAACCATTCAGAGAGACATCATTTAGCACCACACAGATATAAAAGCCAGCAGTAAATGCAGTCTTCCACTTTCCCTTCTGGCTTTCCAGACCAACTGTCTGGCATGGATATGGCTGCCAATTCTAAACCTGGAAGGATCCCTTTTTAAGAACTCAGCACAGCTGAGTGTTACTGTTTGTTGCTACATTAAGAAGCCACAGCTAATTGCCTAGGGCTCTTCACAGAGGAGCACTTTCACTCAGGTCTTGCAATGTTGCTACAGATTACCAGTTATCTTCTAAACAGAGCACAAGAAAAGGCATTCTGGCCATGTTCAGCCCATCCAGGATGGACAGTGACTATTGATCACACACCAAAAAAGGACAGAGGCCAAAGGATTTCTTCTGTTTTGTTTTCTTGTGACTAAAGGAACAAAAACACCTACCGTCCCTCCAGCCAGCTGAGCACCTCAAAAAGCTCCTTGGGATCTGTATAGAGGCTCCAGTCCTGTAGAACATGGAAGGAATACTAAGTTAGTGAGGTAAAATTGTGTTCCCATCCCTGCACTTGCAACAAAGCTGGACCAAATCTCAATGGAATTTTGCTGCATGGAATACAGGAGATTTCCTACTGGAAAACTGGAAAGGGACAAATAGCCATGTCCCCACTTTAATCACATCTAACAGGAAAAAATCTTCTCCAATGCTGCAAGGAAAGCCGTTGGAGTAAATCCTAAGAGCAAGCCAGGTAGCTCTCTTCTCACTGAACCTGTCCCAATTTGTCAACATTTCAACAGTAGTGCTGATTTCATGCACATGGAACAAATGCCCTCCCCAAACTAATGAGTGAGGCACCTATCCTTATTTCACGTGCTATCAAGTTAAAACCACTCTTTTCAGCACTATTTGTTTGAATGGGGGATTGTAGCCTGCTGTGACTATTTTTTAAATGCCTGTTTATCAGTGATGGAGATGATGATTTATTACTACTGTTATTGTTACAGTGTTAGAATTTTAAGACTAAACTGCTTCACAAATGAACTGTTGTAAACCACTTTATAAGCTGCAAAGACTAAGATTTCAGCTAAACACCAAACCTTAGTTCCATCCTTATGATCACACTGATAACATGCATCCCCTCACACCTTCTAATCCCAGCAATCCTCTGAATGTAGCATGAAACAACAGAGGCACGTGCAGCCCTCCCTTTCTCTCACATGGCACTTATGCCAGAGCCTTACAATGGCACTGAGGAAATTCCTCTCCAGTGTGTTCATGGTCTGCACATCCACCTTGCCAGCAGCTCCCCATTCATCATTGAATACTTCTTCCTCTTCCCCTTCATCATAGAGGTACTTGCTTGCAACCATCTGAAAGCAACAGATATTTCAATTGAGGAAAGATGGGGAATAGATACCCTGCTTTTTTAAAGGGATAAGCTGAAGATATATTTCAGTCCTCCCAGTTTCTAAGGGTGGAAGAAAACCTCGTGCTCACCTTCAAATTGCCTATGTATCAGCACCAGAGAGCGGGTATGGGGAAATCTACTAGTCTGTAAAGCTGGTGTGAAGAGTTCAACATCCTCAGCTGAACAGATTAGAAAAGGGAATTCCATTCACAAAAGCAAAATAATTTCAATTAAAAAGGAGTTAAGTGGCAGAATTGCAGATAGAAAGGATAAGGGCAGGGCAGGTAGCCTATTGCAGACAATCCTGGCTCATGTTACCAAAATATAAATTAAAAATGAAGGTATAGAGAAGATGGGGGAAGAAGATAAGTATGCTGAAATTCATAGCACAGAGAAGCATCAAGGCCAGGAAAAGGAGAAAATTATTCTAACCATGTATATAGCACTAGCATATTTAAAGCATTATAAAGCAATAATCTATTCAAAGGAGTACATATAAATCAGTCTTCCCTACCTGATGGCCCCAGATATTTTGTACTACAATTCCCATTAACCCCAGCCAGGATGGCTAATGATTGCAGGTGAAGGGCACTATAGAGCAAAAGATGTGGAAAGCACTGCTCTGGGGAAGGCTGACATAAATAATGTCAGTAATCCTCACAAACTATTCCATCATCATCCAGACCTTGGCATTATCCTAAAACTTGAGGCAGGAATCTGAGACTTGGAGATCAGCAGCTTAGAGAGAGTTCAGGGGCCAAGGCAAGGAATTTTTGACACATATTTCAACTAGGAATTTCCTGACACATAGTCTTAGCAACTGTACCACAACACTACCAGGATGGGAATCCAACATTAAAATCAGAGACTCCTCAGAGCAGGGTTTTGTGTGTTTTTTTTTGTTTTTGTTTTGTTTTACTGTGGACAACTATAAAGCATCATTGACAACAGTATACAAAAAAGTCACACATCATTTTGGAACGTAGTCCTCTTCCTACAGATCCGCTGCTTTGCCTGCCCCATCCCAACTTAGTTGCTCACCATGGAGATCAAGAAGAGGTCAGAGGATGAGATCTGCTTTAGATATTCCGGATTGCGGTGTCGAAGCCTCTCAATGTAAACCAAAGCCAACATCATGGAGCAGGGGGAAATACAAGCCTCCCTGGGAGGAAGAGTTAAGAGGAACCATTTATTTCATCAGTCAGGCCAACAACTTAACCTTCACTTCATGAGTATTTGGGTGCTTGAAAAATCCCATCCTGGGGTCCCAAGATTCTAGCCTTCTTCAAGGCCATTCCAGCTGTACAGACAAGGCCTCCTTAAACTTCCTCATATGCCAGGGCAGGCAACATGCACACCCATCCCCCCAGTAGCCTTCAGGCTCTTGAAAAATGCCCCCCAACATATTTTTCTATGGAAAACATGGTCTCTAGAGTACTATGGAGTGCTACAAATGCCAAATCTCCACTTTCAGGAGAGTGGTGATTTTTTAAATTAGCTTTTGGAAGACTACTATGCAAGGCAGGCACAAGCGTAGAGGGCAAAAATGGTCTCCAGAGCCCCCAGAGTTGCTTACCCCAGCTATATATACTGAAACTTGGTTATTGCACAATTTCAATAGCTTTATCTGCAGTCAGTCTCCTTTTAGACCCTCAAGAGATGGGACTTAAAGAGATTTGGAAGAAATAAAGAGATTGGGCCACAAAGCACCTCAACATGTCACAACAGTTAAGGAGGAGGAAGTCTATGGATTTTGCAAGAATACAGCCCTTCTCTGCAACCAGAAAAACCTCTCAGAGCACAATGCTATGCATGTGTTTTTCTCTCTAAATTTGTTTAGGATTATATTGTCAGGATTGAATCCACATCTGCTCATGTTTCCATGCACTCTCAGTGATGTTCTGAAGGCTCATAGTTTACTTTCTAACTTGTTAACTGCCTTCAACAAGTATTCCACTTATCTCATGCTGAAGTCAACTCCCCAGGCATTATTCTAGGCAACTGCCTTGTAATGTCTCTTTCCCTACTCATTCTGTCCTGCAAAGTAGTACTTCCTCTTAACATCTTTTATTTTTCAAATGAAAAGCTGATTTTATACAAAAATACTTGTTTACTCTGCATACCTCCAAATAGTTTTTATTTGAAGTGCTAGTTGTAGAACTTGTACAGTCAAGCTACTTCAGGACCTTAAAACTTTCCAGCTCCCATACATGGGCCTTCCAACTTTCCTTTTTCCTTAAAGGATGATATTGCAAAGTTATTACTATGTATAAAGGTAAAGGTTTCCCCTTGACGTTAAGTCCAGTCATGCCTGACTCTAGGGGGCGGTGCTCATCTCTGTTTCCTAGCTGAGGGAGCCGGGCGTTTGTCTGCAGTCTCCGTGGTCATGTGGCTGGCATGACTAAACACTGAAGCACACAGAACGCTGTTTACCTTCCCACTGAAGCAGTACCTATTTATCTACTTGCATTTGTATGCGTTTGAACTGCAAGGTGGGCAGGAGCTGGGATGGAGCAACGGGAACTCACCCTGTTGTGCAGATTCGAACCAGCAACCTTTCAGTCAACCAGCCCACCAGCACAGCAGTTTAAACCACTGTGCCACCTGTATATGTACCTTTATAATTGACTGGATACACTGCCTTATCCACAGAGAATAGCATGAATGAAACTGCACAAATCCAAACATCCATTTAAAAATAAAAGAAAAAAGTCTCAGCCCACAGTAAAAAAAATGTAGCTATGGGATACAGAAGAATGAAAACAGCTGAAAAAAATTCTGAGCCATACCGGGAGACATGAGACACATATTTTTTCTGGAGCCTCCGAATGGGACTTGGGGCAGCTTTCTGGAGTAATTCCACAGCAATATCTAGAAAGGAGGAAGAATCAGGATTCAACACTCTTTGTTCAGTGCTCTTTGTGCCCCGGCCACACCAGTGTCCTAGTGCATACCTCTCCTTCATATACAATGGAAACCAACACCCCTTTCAGAGCTACTGAAAGAGCTACTTTCCCCTGTAGCCCACCTGGCAAAGAATGATGTTTGGAAATGGAAAGTGCCAAGTCAAAACTGGAAGAACAGAGAAGAAATTTCACCCCTAAGATGCAGTGCCCACTTGGAGAACCACATTATAATTTGTGAGGTTATATAGTTAACATTTATTACCAGAATAATGTGACAGCTGGATAGAAAGATTTGCCCATCAGATTCTGAATATATTTACTTGGAAACAAAGTTCCACCGATCTAAACAAAGTTAAGCATACATGAGTCTGGAGTCTTATTAATTTACTGGTTACCTTCCATTACCGATCGCAGATGATCATGCCACTGGTATAAATGGATAAAGTACAAATTACTTCTCTGGCACATCCATTGCATATTTAACTTTACATTAATAGGTCTGTATAACAAGTATGAGCAATATTCCATAAGCAATAAAAAGCCAAACATGTGTAACACAGGTATACAATGCTGAAGCAGGCACTAAGAGTAGAATAAATTTCTGTATCTCTGCTATCTCAAAACAACCCTTTCTTGGATTCTTCTTTTAAATAAGCAGTGGGTAACTGCTGGGGGGATGGGGGAGGTCTGGGGAATGTTTCATCCTCTGGACTACCCTGCCATGGGCACAGGATTTCTTTTTAAATTTCCCCCAATATGCCATTGGCACCGCCTTTAAAAACTTTTAAAAAAGCCAATTTGAAGGGTGGCATGCATGCATCATCAGGGGCCACGTGTGGTTCAAATGCTACATGTTCCCAGTCCTGATTTGAATGATCTTTCAATAACCCTTAAGATCCGGGCTGGAAGCCATTCTTTGGGAGACCTCACTGAAGATTAGGAGAGTGGCTACCTGAAGAAGGGACTTCTCTGTGGTGGGGCTCCAGTTATGGAATATGCTCCTGATAAAGGTTCACCTGACACCAACACTTCATTCTTTTTTGAGCCAGGTTAAGACCTTTTTATTTTCCTATTATTTTAAGGTTTGACTATGATTTTAATTGTGGGGTTTTATTGCATAAGAAATTATTTGGATGCTGTGCTCTATTCTGCTTTTTTGTAAGACCATCCCAAGACCTCGGTAGTGGACGGGATATATAGTTTTAATAAATAAATAAATGAATGAATGAATGAATGAATGAATGATCTGTTTACTGCAAAAAGAACCCAGTATGAGTAAATGGGTTTTGGAGTGCAGCATTAGGTATTTCCAGAAAAGCATAAAATCATTCCAGATATCTTTTATCTTGGCATTTCTGTCACAGTCCATGAATCTTTCCAATTTGACAAGATGAGCCAGACCTGCATATACTGCAGAAATTGCTGGTCAAACTTTGAACTTCCAACCCTTGGAATACTTGTCTCTTAGCAACCACCAGGGATCTACTGAGTCAGTCTTTTCCTGCTAGTTCAGGCTTGCATTTTAGCATCCATTATACCTGATCTAGCTCCAAAAACAAAAACTTTTTAAAAAAATCACAGGACTCATTTGCCAGATTAGCTGGGAAGAATAAATATGGGGGACAACAATCAATTTACATATTATATGGAAAGAAACTACTGTATGCTACGCTGAACATCCATAAATAACAACGGACCAAATGAAATAGAATCAAATGAATTAAAATAAAATAGACATCTAGTTCCTCAGTTATAAGGAAATAAAGGCCTCAGGTTACTCTTATAGTCTTCGAGAAGTCAGAGAGATGAAATGAAGGAAGGCCCTGGCAAGGTTCCCTCTCACTTTATCAGAGTCTCCTTGAGCAGCCTCTCAAAGATGTGCTCATAAGATCATCCTGCTACTTGGCTCTCTCACCTCTACACTCAGTTTATGACAGTCGATTCTGTAAAGCTGCCAAAACATCCAATTTAGTTTATACCACTTGATGCAAAATGCTTGCACAAACTATTAAGTGTTCACATTCATTCTCTCTCTCTCTCTCTCTCTCTCTCTCTCTCTCTC